ATCTAAGACCACGACGAGAAACGACTTACTCAAATTAAAATGGGTTTATTATAAAAATAATAATTATATTTATATAAATTGTACTGACCGTACTTCGCACCCGGGCTCCGAGCCCGGATTAGCGATACAAAGCCACCCCGGGCACACGCTGAGCGACGTCAGCCCGGTATTTGGGGCCCGGTATTTGGGCAGATCATTCCCGAACTCGGGGATCTCGTCCCAGATCAGAACCGCCCCCCAATTATATCATATCATATCATATCATATCATATCATATCATATCATATCATATCATATCATATCATATCATATCATATCTTATCATATCATGTCTTATCTCATGCCCAAGGCCCAAGACAACCCTAATTCACACAAAGGTATGTGCATTATTTATACGAGACTCATACTCCCACAAACACTAACTTTAGCATCGGAGTCTCTTTTGCAGGTACCACCCCCATCTTGGAGCACCAGCGTACCAGTGAAGGAGGCTCGCCGATCTTACCCGGCGGATCAGCTCTACAGCAGATTTCCGGTAAGAACATTTGGCGCCCACCGTGGGGCCGATCAAGACCAGCTCTTATCGGCCATTCTTATGGTTTTCACTAGAAGCCATAACAGACGCGCAACAGACGACCTAGATCGCTCAACTACCATGGATAGTGATGCAGCAACATTGAGGAGGCTGATCGACCAGGTCGAACAGATGCGGAAACAACACGCCGCCGACCTACAAAGCATGCGTGCCAAGCACGAAACTGATCTAGCAGCAACGCGCACCGCTAATGAAGCCGACCTAGCGGCACTACGCGCCGAGAACGAGCGCATTCACACCCAACTCCCTCGGCGTCCCTCAGATCAACCCCCTCCGCAGAGTAACCTGAATAAGGACGAAGGGCACTCGGTTTCACAACCGCCAACACCGGCTAAGGCACCGACTCCCAAGCCTCCCACACATCGGTCTCACGCGCCGACGAACAGGTCGACGCACGACGTCAGCAACGCCCCTGCCCACGGCACGGGGAATCAGACGACCTTCCGCCGCCATCCTTTCGTGGACGGTATCATGGAGACACCTCTCCCCTTTGGGCGGAAGCCTTTCCACCTCGACCGCTACGACGGCACAACCGACTCGGACGAGCATATCAATCTATACACCACCCAGGTAAACCTCTATACTAATGAGGATGCTATACTGTGCAGGGTTTTCCCAACCTCGCTCAAGGGGGCTGCACTCAACTGGTATACCCAGCTACCCGCCGAGTCAATTGACAGCTTCGGCACCCTGGTTAGACGGTTCACAGCGCAGTATGCGACAAGTCGGCCTTATCACATAACGTCAGCTGCTCTGGCCAGCCTCAGACAGAGCGATGACGAACCACTACGGACGTTCATGCAACGCTTTGTCAGCATCTTGGTGAAAATTCAAAATTTAAATCCCGAGGTCGCCCTACACGCCATGCTTATGGCACTCAAGCCCGGACCGATTGTCGACAACCTATGTCGCGAAGCTCCTCGCGACATGGACGAGCTACACGTTTGTTATTTAGATTTATAAAAAAAAATTCTTAAAAGTTAAAAAGATATTATACTTTTTCCTACCGTAAGTCCGTTGTCATCGTTAGGGTCACCGCATCTAAGGTATTGTCCGCTTTGACCCTCTTCATTTGGGAATATTTCATATATACTGTCATCACATATGCAAACTAAATTTACTTGCTAATAAACAGTCACGATATTGAAAAAAAACAACTCATTACTCTTGCATAGCTCAGTTTAGATTAACTGCTTAGAACTTCTATCTCCTCTGTTACTAAGACTTGATAAGGTAAAAATATTAACTCTATAAATTAAAAATAAATTTATATGTAGGTATTAATTAATTTATGGAAAAGTTAGCTGAAGTAATTTCTGAAAAGATTACGATATATATTTATTTTAACTTAAATGTGAAGTTTAATTTATTGTTTCTTTGATTTTTTTTTCAATGATGTTGAGAAATTTGTTCAAACTCACACAACACTCTTTGAGTTTAGAGATTTTTCCGGATTTAAACTGGGACCTCATCTCCTTCCTTAAATATTTTGTGACAAAAAAACTCACTACTCATCGTTCCTGTTCCTTGGAAACTAAATTAAAATAACACTAATCTTATAATTAAGCGATTTCTTGGAGTTTTTTTTTAAAGAGATATTTTTTAAGGAGGATTTTACCAAAATTTTGTTTATGAACTCTATACAAATACAGAAATTTAAATATTGATAATATTTTATTTTTAAAAAGTAAATAAGTAAAATTAATAATTATAATTTAAATATAAATAATATCATAAAGATTTGAAACATAAATAATATACGTTTCTAAAAAAATAAACATATTTTTTAAAATATAAATATTTAGACTGAGCATGTGGGGCCAAAAGAAAAAAAAATAATAAAGTAAGTTGGTCATATTGACTGACTTGACATTCTTCCACGTGAAAGTAAAAATCTTGCTTTTATAATTTCTCCGTCGCTCTCACTGGTGCTGAGGTTCTGTGAATTCTTACAACGTTTGGTCCTCTCAACACTGCTGTTAATAATAATACCAACAATAATATGAATAAATTACATGTGTAAGTGAGTTAGAATGAGTCGAATTTAGATAAATTTATTATTTAATTTAATCAAAACTTAATGGATTGGATTCCTACGATCTTTTTTAAAAATTCAATTTAACCCAACTCAATCACAAATGGATTGTATTAGATTGGATTAATCAGGTCGACATAATTATATTTATTTATTTTTTATAATAATTTAAATATTTTAAAATAAATGTAAATTATTTAATACATTATTGCAAATTCTATGTTATCAATCTATAAAGAAAAAAATTATACAAATTAAATTCTAAAATAAATTTGTTAATCTGTCACATTATTATCAACTCAAAAATATAAAATAAAATTTAAAATAAATATAATATATTGTTATAATGTTATTAAGCTAAAACACAAAACTTATTACTAAATAAGAGTAACAATTAGTATTGTCCTAAGTAAATGATCATTCAAACATTATTATTATTATTATTATTATTATTATTATTATTATTATATATGATCAGGTTGTGTTGGGTTGATAACGAGTTGAAAATACAAAACTCATTACCTGGCCCATACAGTACTGAATTTTGATCGAATTGAGTTGGGTCTGATCCAAATACTAAAAAAATTCAATCCAAACTCCTTAGATTGATTTGGATCAGTTCGGTTTCGCGGGTTACCCATTGCCGCTTACACCCTTAGAATAAATTACACTTATATCTTTTGTGTTATTTTTTTATATTGCACTCGATAGTCCTTTGTTATTTAGATTTATAAAAAAAAATTCTTAAAAGTTAAAAAGATATTATACTTTTTCCTACCGTAAGTCCGTTGTCATCGTTAGGGTCACCGCATCTAAGGTATTGTCCGCTTTGACCCTCTTCATTTGGCGCTAGAAGGAGGGCGTGACCAGAAGCTTCGTCGACCAACCTATCAATGCTTGGTAAGGGGTACGCGTCTTTGAGGCAAGCTTTGTTCAAGTCGGTATAGTCGACGCACATACGCCACTTTCCCGAGTTTTTTTTTATGAGAACTACATTGGCCAGCCATGTAGTGTATCTGACTTCTCAAATGAAACCTGCTCTTATTAGCTTTTGTGTCTCGGTTATGATGGCTTCTCATCTTTCTCCACCGACCTTTCGTTTTCTCTAAGCCACTGGTTTGGCCTCTTTGTAGATTGTCAACCTGTGACAGATAAGGTTAGGGTCTATACCTGGCATGTCGGCGCTGGACCATGCAAATAGATCGACGTTCTTGGAGATCTCGGCTATCAGTTGTTGTCCCAGCTCCGGGCTTAGTTGTTGACTTATTTTGGTGCATTGGCCGGGGAGTTTGCTGATTTAGAGATCGGCCAATTCATCGATAGGGCTTGGGCAGTTGTTGTGGGACTCCAATCTAGGATCCAGGTTGGTAATTTTGGCCTGAGTTGTGTGAGCTACGGTGGTAGGTTCGTCTCGGCGTTGCTCCGCTACTGGTGATGATGCTTTTAGGCTTTCGGCGTAGCATTGCCGAGTTGTCCTCTGATTTGCCTTAATAGAGACTCTGCCCATTGCCCCTTGGGAGTTTCATCGTCAAGTGCGGGGTAGACACCACCGCTCCAAGTTGGTTCAGCGTTGGCCTGCCTATGATGATGTTATACGATGTGTTGGCATCGACGAGGAGGTATGTGACCATGATTCTTTTTGAGTTGGGGGATCCCAAAGGTTGTTAGCAGCTCTATGTATCCCTGAGTGTGGACACGTTCACCTGCAAAACCGACTAGGGGTTCTGTGTGAGATTGGATGAGAGAGTGAGAGATTTCTAACCTTAAGAACGTTAGTTAATATAGGACGTCAGCTGAGCTTTCTTGGTCAATCAACATCTTGTGGACTTCCCAGTTAGCTACTTCAATAGTGATGACCATGGGGTCATCTTGGTTTGGACAGATGCCGACATAGTCGTCATCCGTGAAGGTAATTGGTGAACAGTTGACTATATTTTGTGGGTGGACTTCATTTGGGAATGTTTCTCCAAAGTGATTTTTTTTTCATACCCTAAATGCTAGATTACACCTAAAAAGAGAAGAAAATTGGAGACCCGTCTTATAATAAGTATTTATTAAGAAAAAAAAGTCCTAAAATAAGTTTTACGCTAATTTTTTAATATAATATTAAACCTTTTTTTTTATCTATACTCATAATTTTTTTGAAAAATAGTTATTGTGTTACATTATTTTTTTTAATAAAAAATATTGATTATATAAAAAAAATAATGTATTTATTAACTTTTTTTTTAGCATGGAAGGAAGGAAATAGATTAATTAATAGATTTTCGTTATGATAGGAAGAAAGAAAAAGAAATGTGAGGTGTGATTGAAATATGTGTGTTCAAATATGATTCCTATTCTCTTAAATGGCAGGTGGTAACGAATAAATTAAAGCATGCAACCCCGTATGGTGTAAGTCTTCATTAAATCATGTGAACATACATCATCTCTTCATTACAGTCAAGAAAGAAAGAAAATCCCGAGACATTCTCCAAAATAAGGAAAATTCCTACATCTAAGTCCAAACTATGAATGCCCATTCCAATTCACAGCATCTCAAATCAATCAAATTCCCCCGACGTTGACTTTCACTTCTCAATGCCCATCCCATGCATGCATGCATGTTTTTTTATTATTATTATTTATAATATTATTAATAAATTATGCATCTCAAAGTCAAAGATAGGATTCATCATAGGTGAGTTCAGAGGCAGCAGTGAGATGAGCCTTGCTACTAGGCTCGTACCTCTTCTTCCGGTGACCCCCACCACAAGTAATCGTAAACTCACACCCCATCGCAGTTCCAAAACACGAGAACAACCCTCCACCGCTACTTCCACGACTACCACCGCGCTTATGGTTCATACTCTTACCCCTCACCGGAACGTTATGCCTCACATTCTTTCCACCGTTCCCGAGGTGGTCGTACACCGCCGGCATCTCATTCGCCTGCCACCTGTCAATCCTCCGGTTCAGCCCCTCCTCCCTCTCCGGCAACCCATCAAACACCAACGCCCCCGTCTTCCGCGGCGCCATCAAGGGCAGCGGGTAAAGCCCCTTGGCGATGGCCGCCGCCACCACCGAGGGCGAGGGCCCCACATCGGAGCAGAGGGAGCCGTTCAAGTTCATGATGGCTCCTTTTTTGGTTAGCGGCAAGCCAAGCTCAGAGCCTCCAGAGTAGTCAGCTGCGTCGTCCTGTCGGAGATAGTTGTTACTGTTGTAGGTGTAGTCGTTGATGGTGGAGTCGTTTTTCTCGCTGGCGGAGCGTTGCAGCGTTAAGAGCTTGTAATCGGTGTGTTCGTGGCTGGGGGGGAGGGGGAGGTTGTGTTTCTTAGGGTCGGAGGAGGACTCCCAGTCGCCGACGGTGGAGGCGCTCAGCTCCGAGTACATGGGCATGCTGCGCATGGTGGCGTCCACGAGGTTCACGCCGATGTTCAGGATCCCCTGGGGCCGGCCGGAGGGGCGGCGGACCTGCAAGGCGACGAAGCGGATTTTGGATTTGCGGTTGGTGGAGCGTGGGAGGAGGCTGGTGACGAGGACGCCGACGGTGCCGAGGAGGACGTCGCGGAGCCAGGCGGAGGCGTAGATTTCGATCATGATGGTGGAGTCTTGGGCGGTGAGGAAGTCGTCGTCGACGCGGAAGACGAATTTCTCGTTCCAGGAGGGGTTGTTGTGGCCGTCGGGGTCGATTTGCGTGGTGAGTTTGCGCTCCGGGTCAAGCCATGCGACCGCGTAGGGTTTGATGGATTTGGAAACGGGTGCGAGGTCTTGCGCGGATATGACGTTTACTTCTAGAAGCTGGAAGGGGGCAGCTAGCATAGACATTGTTTTGCTGTGAATTGTGATAATGGAAGGGATGAAAGGTGTTTGTGTTTACCTAGCTCTTGCTCTCCCACCACCCTCAACGCCCAAACCAAACCCTTTCTCTTTCTTTCTCTCTCTGCGATTCCGATCGATGCTTTTGATTCCTTTTATTTCGATTGCTAATTCTGCGCCTCTTATGTACCTTTCTTTTTCTTTTATCTCTTTTAAACGTTCGCATCCATTCTACCAACAATAGCCTGTTCGGATCAACTAATTACACCCTTCATCCAATGCTCTCCAAACCATTTCACCACAAATACCTACAAGTCAAAATAGTATTGTCTATGTATCATTTTACATTCTTAAAGTATTCTCTATTTTTTAGTTTTTATAGTTTCACTTACTTTTCCTTTAATTAATTTTTATAATTTAATATAAATTTTTTAATTCTTATAATTATATTGAAAAACTTAATTTAAAGTAATTCTAACAAAATAATTTCAGCATTAAATACATAAAATTGAATTAAACTTTTGTCACGTTAATATATTATAAAAAAAATTGACTATATAGACTAAAAAGGTTAAAAATTGCAAATATATATAAAAATTTAAAAAAAATATTTTAAATTATAAAGACTAAAAATAATTAAAATAAACAAATATATATATAAAGACTAAGAAAAATCTATTAAATTTAAATTATATAAACTAAAAGATAAAGTAAGTCATGAAACTATATAGAGATTAAAAAATATATTTTAATTATTAATATAAAGAATTTGTATATAATAAAAAGAAAATTCTTTTGGAATCCCTTTTAAATAGAGGGTTCTGATGCCCTTCATGTTATTTGTCAGTGAGTGTATGTCACATGTATCAATGATGCATCTCATTCTTCCTTTTGAAATAGTAATTATTTTTTTTTGTTCAACCTGAATATAATTTACGGATATGATAATGTTTAAAGAAAAAAAACTCAAGTCATCTTCTACTGTCTTCAATTTTTTCTTCTGGTGCTCCGAGTCCACTCCACTTCAAAAAATGTTACATATAATAACATATAAAAAGTGTTATTATAGGTACAATATATCATTAGTGGAAAAAGGCGCTACTACATCACCTAATTTACGTCGGAGACACATATATACGACGTTAATAAAATGCGGTGACAGTTTCGTAAATAAAGAGTGAATAATTTACGTCGGACATGGGGGTCTGACGTAAATTATACAATCTACGTCGGACAGTGTATGTAGCCGACGTAGGTTGTATAATTTACGTCGGACCCCCCATGTCCGACGTAAATTAGTGATTATATGCCAACGTTTCACTCTCTTCTCGCGCGCGCCTTGTTTGCAAAAACTTTCTAATTTCTCTCATTTTCTCGTTCTCTCGTTCGTTTTGCTTGCACATTGGACGTTTCTCTGAGTCTCTAAGAGCTGCACATTCAACCTTTGAGGTAAGTTTCTTGTACGCAATTATTTTTTAAATTTTATGTTAGATGTTCATCTGGAACGACCCGTTCTGCAACCAGAATGGGTCGTTCTTGTTAAATTTTTTATTTGTTAATTGTTAATCTGGAACGGGCCGTTCCGAAACCAGAACGGGCCGTTCCAGATAAACAATTTCAGAACGGCCCGTTCCAGTTCCTATAATTTTGAGTTAATTGTTTATCTAGAACGGCCCGTTCTGGTTTCGGAACGGCCCGTTCCAGATGCATTAAAGAAGGACCTTTTAGGCATTGACCTTTAGTTTACCATCGTATTAGTAGAAATATTTATCGATTTTATCCGAAATTATTATCGATTTTTTAGTATTGTAGTTTAGGTTAGAAAAATTATGAATAACTGAGTCAATAGGTTTCTGTTTGTGTATTATTTGTTTTTTTATTACTTGGTTTGCTATATTGTTATTATCTTTTTTACTTTATTTGTCTATTCAGTTAATTCGTTGTTTTAATAATGAGAGTTTAATTTTTTTAGGATTATGAAGGATTCGGGGTCTGGCAGTGGAAGGAGGGAAGGTAAATCTGTCACCAGATTGTTTGGGTTCACAGCTGGACGCATTGGCAAGGAGAGGACACCGGTTGAGGTGGATCCTCGTTCTGGCAAGGCGTCAGGCCCAAATGCTGCCAAGTTTAAGAGCTATTTGGGAGTCCTAGTTGACGACATGTTTCTATCATCATTCCATCATGGGATGACTTTCAGGAGGTTGACAAGAACCTCATGTGGCAGGATATTCAGGTATATACTTTCACATCCCTTCAATATTATATAACTTAAATACATTATTTATTATTTGTTGTTATTTTCATAGCAAAATTTTGACATTCCCAACACTGAGGTCATGAGGAGGAAGATGTTATCTGCCCTTGCCACCAGGTGGAGAGACTTCAAGACTTTCTTGACACGGGAGTATGTATTTGGAGAGCGACAAAATGAGACTCCCTGTCTAAAGTACCAGATCACTGATGAGGAGTGGATGCAATTTCGTGCCACTCGATTGGACCCTTCTCAGGTCAAAAGAATAGCTTCCCAAGAACGACAGAGCAAGAATTATGCACCCCATCTATTTTCAAGAGGGGAATATGAATTAAAAAAAAAAGAAAATGATGAAAGTTAGGGCAGAGGCAGCAGGGGTTGAGTCTGTTGACCGTGTGGAGTCACCTCCCCGCCATGAGATGTGGATAGCAGCCCGAACAAAGTCAGATGGACAAATGACTTCTGAGTCTGCAAGGGTCGTTGCTGATATTAATATATATTGTAGTTATTGTATAAGTAAAAGTAATTTTTAGTGACATGTATAATATTAGTGTAGGATGTGTCTTGTAGTGATCATGTGATCCTCAAAATCCAGTGCTCTGTCAACGAGAAGTCCACCTGTGTTTCAATCGAGTTCTTGCAATGGAGTCTCAACGCCAATAGGAATTCTGGACCAACGCTGCCACAAATAGGTGGAGGAGGAACTCGTCCTCATCGTCGTTTTCAGCATTGTCTCACTGGAGAGGTTGAGGTTTAATCTCTCTACAAAATGGTTGGGATTTGGATCTCCAAAGACCCCTCATGTTATTTATCACTGACGACGCCAAAAATGACAATGAGGACAAGTTCCTCCTCCGCCTATCGGTGGTGACATCGGTCCAAAACTCCACCCAGTGTAGAGTCCTCCCGTTGTCATTTAGGCTCTGCCACAAGAATGCGACAAAAATGCTGGTGAATTTCTTGCCGACGGAGCTTTGCTTTTTGAGGACCATAAGATCAGACAAGGAGCATCGGAAGAGGAAATAAGAGATCCAAGCAGGATCCAAGCAGTAGAAAATGGTTTAGCGGTTATTTTTTTCATCATTATCCATATCCCTAAATTTGGGTTCAACAAAAAAATCCAATCAATATTTCAAAAAGAAAGATGATGTGTCTCATTAATACACAAATTACATGAGGGGCATCGAAAACCCCTATTTAAAAGGAATTCCAAAGAAATTTCCTAATAAAAAATGGGACATGAAATTTTGATGGTGAGAATTTTTATCGAAGAGAATCCAAGTTAAAATTCTCAATTCAAAAAAACCATATCTCTAGCATGATTTTTAATTCTTAACCGTATAATTTTGCTACCAGAATTTAAGAGAGAGAAAGTGATACTTGAATGTTATGAACACTGTGCTTCCATTTTGAGATTTCACCTACATCACCAATTGTCAACTTCACTTATTAGTTATTTATTGATAACGTGACTCAAGCTAGCAGCTAGCAAAGATAAAGTTAAGAAATAAAATAAAATAAAAAGTTACTAGCTAGTTGGTATGTGTTTGATAAAAAGTTTTTAATAAAATACACATACTTTATTATAATAAATTATTTATGAATAAAATTAATTTGAAGTTTGAACACCATGTTAATTATATTTAAAATGAATTTTGACTAGCTTTAAACCAAGCAAACTTCAAATTTCTAACCCGCCATGCGCGGTAGATAGATAGAAAACTTGTGACACAAGGTTTAAAACGGACTAAGGCAGGTGTGTTGACTGTTGAGTCTATGTCAGTTAATTCGGTAGATAGGATTAGGAATGAAAATGCGAACCAAAATCCCAACCCCCAAGCCAAGCCAAGCCACCATGCATAGCATCATTTCCTAGAGCATCAACTATATATTTATGCAACCAAATCCAGTGTGGTTGATCTCAAAACCACCAAATTAATTAATGCTATAGCGTTGCACCCAAAATGGATATTTCCCATTCCACCATCCTCTTTACTCTCCCTTTCTTCCTCTTCCTATTACCTTCTTCCAAACCAGTTTCCGACTATAGCACATTAGTGTACAAAACATGTGCAACCCAAACCTCGAAGAACCACCAACCATTCCAAACTTATTCTCAAACCCTCAATTCTCTATTCCAGCAACTCATCGCACAATCCTCCCAACACAAGTTCTTCAAAACCATGGAAGCCGTTACCGACGACACAGCCATCTCAGGCCTTTTCCAATGCAGAGAGGATATCAGCAAAGAAGATTGTTTCAGCTGCGTGAGCACGCTGCCTCACATGTCAAACACCTTGTGCGGCGATTCCATGTCAGCACGGGTTCAGCTTCACGGTTGCTACATTCACTACGTATACGAAAGCGAGGAGGTTCCAGAAACAGGTGGTGAATCTGATGAAAGTAGCATTTTGCTTCACAAGGATTGTGGAGAAGCGGTTGGGGATTATATGGGGTTTAAAGGGTTGATGGACGAGGCATTTGTGGCACTGGAAAGTGGGATTCTGAACAGTAACGGGTTCTATATAACGAATTATAAGTCGGTGAAACTGATGGCGCAGTGTGAAGGGGATTCGGACACTTGTGACTGTAGTAATTGCGTAAACGATGCACTGCAGGTTGCTAAGGAACAATGCGCTACTTCACGTTCGGCACAAATATATCTTCATAAATGTTTCATAAGCTATGCCATGCATGGCAACCCTGTCCCAGGTAATTAATTATTAAATTGAATCAAGAACAAACTCTTGTTTGCATTTTCTTTATTATTTTAAGGTAATAAATACAACCTAAAATTAATATGTCAGTAATATTTGTTTACAAATAATATTTTAAATACTATTTATAAAAATCTTTTTATTTATTTTCACGTTATCTTCAAACTGTTTATAGCCTTTTCCTGATAGTTAATTTATTAACAGAACTTAAATACAATTTTTTAATATATTTTCTCTAATTAAATTTGAAATTTCACCTTGGTAAACTATATTAAATTTTCTAAGGTAAATGTTTATTATGTTAATTGATTAAATTTTTAATTCTAATTGAAAACATACAAATAATATATTTAAGGAATTGTATCAAAGCTTGGCCTTAATTTATTCAGCAATTTTTTTATATAAAAATATATTATTTCAGTTTTGGATTGAAATATTCCCCACTTGTTTAAATTCATTATTTTTCTTATGTTATACAATCTTTAATTATTATATTAATTCAATATTTTAAAATTTTGTATATAATCCACAAATATTACTAATTTTAGATCCTGATGTCGGAGAAAATCTATGCGAACAATAACTCCTCAATACAGAGACATTTTTTTTATTCTCACATCATATTAGATTTACAAAATTTTTGCAAAAAAAAATTAAATAATACAAGATAATTTTGGGTTGCTTAACGTTAGTCATGTAAGTTATTAATAGTTAGATATTGATATTCTTCCGATGTAATAGGGTAAATCACTTAGTAATTCAACCACTGTCTCTCTGTGTGTAAAATCTGGGATAAATTACTTAATAATTGCTTATTAGGTATCATATTTTTTTTTGTAGTTGTAAAATAGGTATCATATTTTTTAGTTACTACAAGTATTCTTTGACTTATTATATTTGTATATGGGTTAGAGTATCTTTTGTACTCCTTTTTAATAAATCTCTTTTACTTAAAAAAAAAAAATAGAAATAGTTAAACTCAAAGACAATATAATTAATAAACATTAGAGTTTAATGTTGATATATTATAAAAGTAAAAATTGTTTTTCTATTATTAACTAATAAAAAGATCACCGTTGATATATAAATTTTAAAATGATTATTATAAAAACTAATAAATTTATTACACGATTAATTTATGATTTTTATAACTATTTTATACTATCTGTATAACCTATTTACTCATTATTATACATGATTACTGATTAATTATATACGAAATTTATGAATACAGGGACAAGCAGAAATATCAACACCGAAAAGTTGGCGGCAATAATTGTTGGAGGGGCCGCAGCTCTGTTTTTGGGTTTTATTTTTTTATCACTACTTAACTCTAGATTTAGAAAAGACGACTATGAATAGAAGAAAATGGCAGTGACACTTTATTAATTTAGTACGGTTTTCAACAAATTTCAATATAAAAAAGTGGTAGAAAAAATATTACTAACAAGTAATCAAGTATTAGGATATGATTATCCGTATATAATCCTCATTGCTCTGTTTTTTCTTTACTAGAGGATAACTTTGTTTCTACAATACCTGATTACAGTGTTGAAAACATTTCTTACTTTGGTGTAAAAAAGGATTCTTACTTTTTAATTGAGTCTTATTTTATTGTCAAATACTTTCTCAAACCAATTACTCTTATTAATTAGATGAGAAACATTTACAATACAAAAAAAAATTTATCTATCACAATTATTATAAAAGATGATACAAAAATTTAAATTTAATATCATATGTTTATTATTTCAACTTTCATCATTACATTGAATCTAGTGATTTTTACACTTTTTTTTAAGAATGCTTTGTTAATTGATATCATATTTTTTTTATTTATAAAAATCAAAATTACTACTAAAAAGATTATAAAAAAAAAACTCATGCACATTATTCAATTAACTAAATTAAAAAATCATACGTAACAAAAAAAAATACATATACATAACAAAAAAATATGTTAATTAAGAAAATTAGGTAATACTTATTTATTCTACAATAACAACAATTTTAGCATTAGAAAAATATTTCAAAAATGAATTATCTCATTTCTCAATATAATACTACCTGTGCTCCTAATTATAAGCGATATAGGATGAATCACTAAGACAAACAAAAAGTAATTAATATAATTTTTTAATTAATTATACCATAAATTCAAATTTTATTTTAAATATATCATTTATTTTAAGTGATTATTATATTTAATGTTAATTATAAGTAAATGCATAACAAATAAAGTTAATAATAGATGAAGGATATAAAAGAAATTTAACCTTGAGTATTTTTAAAAACTAATGATTATTACTTATAATTAGACTACAGAAAAATTTAATTTATCACTTATAACATGGACTATAAGTACTATTAATTTTTCTCCTAAATTGTCCCTTTATAAACTACTCTCTCCGGATTTTTTTTGTTTGATGTTTAAGAATTATGTACAAGAATTAAAAAAAATGATTGATATTTTAGTTTTTCAAAGTATTTATTACTTATTTTTCTGTTATACTTCTTAGATGGTTGTAAAAGAAATAGGTACATTAAAAATGAATAAACACGTTGTTCAGTAAACACATATTAATTATCAATAGTAAAAATGAAAAACAATTAATAAATCATTAATTTTATAAAAGTGACAATGAAAAAAAATAATAACAAAACGACTATAAATAAAAAATGGAAGAAATATTCAACTAATACAACTAAAAGTAATGTATTTAGTGAAAAAATAAGTTATTTTAGTAAAATTGTATATAAAAAAAAGTTATATTTATTGACGTATTTAATATGTGTCTAAAAATATTAACATGTTGTCATTGACTCACTGGTTTGTGGGAAGGGGGAAATATCATTTAATTGTATCAATTTTGTTTTAAAATATTTTTTCCTAAATTACCCGCTATGTGAACAAGATATGAAAAGAAAAAGTAGTCAATGAAAATGAAACCATAATTAAATTAAAGACATTATTGAGATAACATTAAAAAATATTAAATTAATTACTAACACTTTTTGCAAGCACAATAATCAATAATCAAGTGAAAATCTTTAAACTCAAAACCTCATGTCTCTTTTTAATTATTTAAATTTTTCTTCTTTTGAATAATACTAGGTCGTGACATTTAAATTTATTATCAACACCATGTACAAACAAGGTCAAAGCTTTTATTTGTAGTAATTTTTTGGTTGAAGATGTGCGAGATATGATCATTTGAGATTCTTCTTTTTGATAGATAATATACTACCAAGTTTGCTTATTAATGGATTACACAAACCTTATTTACCCATAATGCTTTGCTTGATGTTAAATACTAGGTGTTGTCTACTCCTTTTCCATAAAATATTAAACATTTTCTATATATTGCTAGTCATAACTCTCTTCCAACTAACAACTTTTGTTGTTATAGACATTTTTCTATTGACTCTTCTTGTAACAGGTGTGGAGATCTTGAAAAATTAATTTTACATATGTTGATAGATTGTAACAAAGTTGAGATCATATGGAACACTCTCCAATTCTCATTCCATGTAAATGATCCTCAAATAATTGTTGCTACCTAGTTGTAAAGTCATTCTACTGGTCAAAGAAGGATTCATTTAGTTGTGACATGGTACATTTGGAGGTTCAAAAACATTAAAGTACTTCAAGATATAGTTTGACAACGTTGGTTATTATCTACCAAATTCATTGTCTAGTTAGTGACACTGACAAAATGTTGTGATTTCATCTTTTCAGTATCAAGACTTCATGATAGGTTGGAATCCACCACCACAACACTTTGTTAAGTTGAATATAAATGGTAACTCCAAAGAAAATATAATTTTTTCTAGTTTTGAAGTTTTCAAAGATCATTTGGGGAATTGGACATAGGGATATGTCGGCTCGTGTTGTAACGACCCGCCTGGTCAATACACACAACACAGCACACCAGAATACTACACAGAAACGAACAAGTATATACATATAGGATCTAGAATATATATATATACAAGGTCCAAATCCATCTAGAATCAAAGTGTACAAAATACATCTAGCAAATGCTAACTAAGTAGCTAAATACATCAAAAGAATAAAACTTCATCTGCTAGCTGCAGACTCTCCTCAGCAAACACCAACCTAACCCTGCCCTGCTCCCATACATAATATGATCATCGCAGTCCAAACCACATGGAAACATAAAGGGTAAGCTAGTGAAAGAAACAACATACATATATAAATATATGAATAATAAATAGCTACAGCTATCAGCACATCAATCATCTTAACAACATCAGCTTAATATATATAACAACACACCTTTCACATCATTCAGCAATAACAGTAGAGAAAAGCAGTACACAACGGTAAACAGTAGTAACACACAATGTGTCGTCACACATATAAGTTAGTATTGGTCGCTTGTAAGCGGTATAGCTCAACCTGGCCCCTATACCGTGGTCGCTTTATACACGTGTGTCTCGACCTTGCCCACACACGGGACCACTAAGAACTTATAGAAGAACAACAAGTTACCACTCCAAGGATCAACTTTCCAGGGAGGGTTTTCAACAAATTGGGCTCTAAGAGCACCACAACCACTCAATCCACACGATGAGATGAGGAATTTCGAAAACATCTCCTCTAATCTTAGTGATCAACAGCTCAGCCTTACGGCCTACAATAGCTCCTAACAGCACGGAGCACGGCACTGCATAGCAGCAATAACAGCACCGCATAACGGCAATAACAGCACCACATAGTGGCTATAATAGCACCGACTTAGCAGCTATAACAGCATACAGCTCAGCACAGCGCAACAATATCGGCATACAACAATAGCGGCTTACAACTCAGCTAAACAACTTACAGCATAACAAGATCAGCATACAACAATAGTGGCTTACAGCTCAGCTAAACAACTTACAGCACAACAATATCAGCATACAACAATAGCGGCTTACAGCTCAGCTAAACAATTTACAGCACAACAATATCAGCATACAACAATATCACCATACAGCAATAGCGGCTTACAGCTCAGCTAAACAACTTACAGCACAACAATATCAGCATACAGCAATAGCGGCTTACAGCTCAGCTAAATAACTTACAGCACAACAATATCAGCATACAGCAATAGCGGCTTATAGCTCAGCTAAACAACTTACAACACAACAATATCAACATACAGCAATAGCGGCTTACATCTCAGCTAAACAACTTACAGCACAACCTAAACATCCTTAATCGGCAATAACATCTAACAGCACGACATATTCATCCATTACAGCTCAACATCATAATTCAGCATTATCAACTAGTCAGCACAGCAATATTTGACAACTATAGCTCAGCTCAGCATATCTATCATCACATTTATACGCATAACAGCTTAACATCAAATATCATGTCTACGCCCAGTGCGCTCATGGTCGCGCCCGGCGTGGTACAACTAGAGAGCACCAGGGCTCAGCGCGCCTGACGCAATTTCCATTGCGCCCGACGTGCTAGGAGGCAGAGACCTCAGAAGGTCTCACACGCCCAGCGTGCAAACCCTCGCTCAGCGTAGGGTAAGCAGAGACTACCCCAAAATCTCACACCCGGCGCAAGGCGCCACCTCTGACAGAGACTCCCAAGGAGTCTCCACGCCCGGCGAGACAACACGCCACACCAGAAATCCCCAAGCAATGTCACTTACTGATATCGCCCCCAGCGCAGTCCAACCACGCTCGGCGTGGGCCATCCAGAGGCTTACACCCTCAAGCTCACCCGACGCATACACCACTGCGCCTAGTGGGCTTGCCCAATGGAGCCTTCTGATGGTCACGCGCCCGGCGCGAAGAACTGGGCCCGGTGTGATACCCAGCAACAACCCTTAAACTTCAAAAATCTCTTCCAAACCTGCACCAAATCAGCTTTCCAAACACATGCAGTCGGCCCAAAACATCACATTTTCATTAAACAACCCAAAAATCTCAGCTTTACCCACATGCAACCATAAACAATGAAAATCCCAAATTTTACCAAAAAACCTGAGAACCCCGAAAAATGAGTTTTCATCCAAAACAGCTCAAAATCTTTGAAAATCTCAGCAATTCGTGAGTCCTAGCTCACTACAACACACAACTGGCAAGAAATCCTAACTTCCCTAACCTGAAGATTGGATCAGGATAGCCAAGAAGCAGAATCCCCCTTCCGAAGCTCAACTCGGAACTTCAATCCTTCAAAAGTCAACTTTCCAGTCCAGAGCCCTTCTCTCTAGAACTTCTCTCTAAAAAAAAACCTCTCCTCCTCAACTACTCACAACCTCTATTTATAGACATTCCGGAGTGGCCAGAACGGCCTGTACCGAATCCGGAACGGCCCGTTCTGCACCCCCTCAACATGTACATAAATTTGATACGGAACGGCCGTTCTGAAATCAGAACGGCCCATCCTGGAACTCATCCAAAACAGCCCGTTCTCCATCTAGAACGGTCCGTACTCCCCTCCAGAATGGCCCATTCTCCCTCTGAAACGGCCCGTTCTCCAACCAGAACGGCTCGTTCTCCCTCCAGAACGGCCCGTTCTCCCTCCAAAATGGCCCGTTCTCAACTACGATTTACTGGTCATTTTAATAGCTTGGAACGGCCCGTTCCAGATTGGGAACGGCCCGTTCTGGGCTACTAAAATACTAACTTGCTACGTCACACGTGTAGTTTCACTTCAAATACAAATGTTGATTGTTAGCAATTTTTCATGGTTTGCCTAGAATTTAGTAATATGATTTTCTAAATATAATGTGTGAATCATGTTGTCATTTCTTTTATCAGTGAGGGAGTTCCATTGACTCACCCTTATGCTTAATTTCTAAAATTAGAGCCTTCTCAAGTCTATCATGGAGCTTTTCTTTGTAATATTGAAAATACCTTGTCTAACACTTTAGTTGTGAAGTCTTCTTGTTCTACTCATATATCTTTGTTGATATTAGAGGATATGATGGAGATCTTATATTTAAGAGATAGTTAGTGCATTTTCTCTTTTGTGTTTGTTTTTAATATATATATATATATATATATTATTTTTGTCGGCCATGGCGGCTGTCATAAGTTGCCATGCCATCCGTCATGTTTGTTGCAGATTTTTTCTTATATATATATATATATATATATATATGTTATTAATTAATTTTAATGTTCAAACTATAAATATCATGTTAACCATAATTATTTTAATTAATATAATTACATATGTTTTTAATATTAGGAATGTATGGTTGAGAATGAAAGTCTCACACCTAAACTTGTGTATTTTAACTTATAATGTGGGTTTTTTTATTTTTAAAAAATATTTTTACTTTCAATTTCAATTAATTAATTAGTTATGTATACTTTATTTATGATCTAAATGTTATTCTAAAAAAGTATATTTTATTTTTTCAAAAATTATAAATTAATATAAAAATAATTTATATTGTTATTTAATCACAAAATATCATATATTTTAGTTTAAATGTTTCGATACTTGTACTTCTTAACCAAGTATTGATGTTCAGTTTCAACTTGATCACGAAATTGTGATTAAAAATACCATTTTATCTTTATAGAAATTGATCTTATAAACTACTAGGATCGACTTAATATTGGAGGGTTGAGGTAGTATATATAAAATCTTATGATCAAATTTTAATACCGTCATTGTAATTTTGATGGATTAAAAAATAAATAAATTACAGCCGCACCTCTTATATTTATTTGAAATTGTACTTGATACCTCTCCGTTATTTTGGACCCACACCCTTAAAAATTGAAAAGATTTTACATGATTCCTTAACTCACAAATAACGTCAAGTGTATTAACATATTCATATCATATAACTTGTACATGATTTTTTTTTAAATGTCCTTCATTAGTTGCAATATAAAAAAAAAAATAGAAACTGTGAGTGTAATTTACTATAAAAAAAAGCTAACTTTATTATAAAAAAAAAAAGTTACATCATCTTATTAAAAAAAAGTTATTGACTTTACAATATCTTAAAAAAAAAAGTAATGTTTGTCTTAAGTCTTAATTATTTAATAATATAAATTTTTAATTGGTCGTCGTGCATAAAAGTTAAACTTTTTTTTATTTAAAATTATTATGCAATCCAAAATATATTTTAATAAATGTTTATTAAAAGTAAACATGATTACATTCAAGCAAAGCAATTTTTTAAAGGATTATAATTTAAGAAGCGCGTTTTTAGTTACTTTTTCCGACAAAAATATTTTTGGGATTTTTTTAAAAAACATAAATTATATTTTTCTTAACCTCCTACTTTTTAATTTTTCATTTTTATTTCTATTATTTGTGTAATAAGTTAAAATGAAGAGTGTCTTTTCATATCACACAATGGAAAATTTTATTGTCGCGTACTGTAGTATGACAAGATTGAGAGTATTTCTTTTACCTCACAATGAAAAATAGTTTCTATAGAGTGTCTTTTATAATACACAAATTGTTACGATGATAATGAAAACTAATTTGTGTTGTGTTACGTAAAACGAGAGCAACAACTATGAGGTGAATTACTGAATATCAGGGTAAGAAGAAAAAGAATAAGTGACTGGGAGAAGAAGGGTGTGCGAAGGAAAGAGATAAATTTAGGAATTATATGTATATATAAGTTAGAATAATTGTATTGAACAAAAATATTTTTTAGAACTATTTTTTAATGAGAGTATTTTAATATTTTTTTTTCATTAAATGTGTTTATAGGTTTTTTTCAACTTTTATCTCTTATAATCATTTTTATTTTAAAATAAATTTCAATTTAAAAAATTATCATTAATTAAAAAAACAGTATCTCAATATAAATTATTTATCATAAATATTAAATATAATTTATATGATAAAAAAATATTTAATATAAAACTATTATAATTTATATATGTAAATTCAAAGTACTTATTTATTATAAAAATTAAATTTGAGGCGTAGGAATAAAGAAAAAGGGAGTGATAACCATTTTTGTTTTAGGTCCCTTGCGGTTTTGGACACTTTTGCCTCCTTTGTTCTTTAATTCCGTCAACGCAGAATAAATGAAAGGGTTATCTTGTTTTTGATGAATTAATGATATGCAGCGTAGAACTAGAAAGTCATGGTCAATCTACTGGAGAGGTCAAACCATAAAATTCCATCCAATAAAAACGCCACGTCATCCGGTGCATGACACGTGTCGGTGGCCCACTTAACAAACCCGACCCAATAGACTATGCGACTCTTCTGCTTCCAGCTTCCGCTGCATATAAGCGCGCAGTCACGCATGTATTCTCCAATAGATTTTCGTGGAAGCCAAACACACATAGAACTCTCAAGTTTACGAGTTTGGATCTTGCATGACCAAAACGTGTTCCGTTAAAGGGAGTGGTAACTTGCTCTACAAGTGTTCGTCATATCGTAGCTCTCAGTCTTGTTCGAAGCTTCCACACAAAATAATGTAACATTGCTTCCTTCGCAAGATTCTTCTTCACCACTAGCTCCCGTGCTACGTTTCCACTGTTCGATTCTGTATGTAAAATCTCTTTCATTTTCTTTTAATCTTGTTTTTATTACTCTACTTCTTTCGCCCTTTCAATTATTTATTGGAACAATGCGAATTAAGATGGAACATGTCATTTCTAATTCCACAGTGATACATAAAAGTAATAATAATAAGTGAAATATTATATCATATTATTTACTACTGTAGTATTTTTTTAGTCTTTAAATATTGCCGAGAGTGAACGCTAAAAGGTGAATTTATCGTACTTTGAATTAAACACGAAAATGCTTATAAACCCCTTTCCTTTTCCCGTGAAATCCTGTGCCAAACCACAATAAGGGTGGTTTGAACCAAAATTCATTTCTCAATTTTTTAGGGGAAATGCGTAGCTTCAAACACAGGAATTTGCGGCTGAGTATAGCAAACAGTGTGTGTTTGTTATCACGGTTTAAAAACGGGAGGAATATTTAGTTACAAAGGAGGTGAATCTCCTCGTTACGCAGGAACGGAGAGAGGTATAGTGTAGTGAAAACACAATGGACTGGATCCAATAACACAAAAGTAGTGGGGGTTTGTTTTCAGCTGCTGGCTGGATATTATTTTGAAGGTAATTTGTAAAAGTGCTGGCTACGACTTGCCCTAACATTAAATTGGGGTAATTTCTCTTTCACTTTTTTTTTTTTTTTTTTTTACAATAAGAAAAACGCAGCTGAAACAGTTTATGAAGGATTTGATCACAAGATCAATACTGTAACTTACAATATATTGGTTCATCGAGTCCGGAATTGAAATTTTAAAACTTTTCATACTTCTTGCTGCAGTATCCTTTGGAATTATTCTTTCCCTGCTGATGCATAAGCTCATTTCCTTTTTGAAAGAGGAGCAAAACGATAATCTAGTTGCATGAATTGATTTCCGAAGGTACATTCATACATTCATGTAGGAACCTTTTAAGATGTTTTAGTGGATGGAAGCGACGAAAAGATAGAGGAAGCTCTTTTAAACTGAGTGTGTCTATAATGTGTTTCATTTAATAGCAAAAATAAAAATAAAATAATAGCAAAATGTTGCATTTTGTGTGGCCGGACTTGCACTTGAGTCATGGGGGTTGATTGGGATTTGTAAGTGTAAACAATATTTGTTTTCGATTGCACTCAATGAAATTTTTATTTTAAAAATTCAAGTATTCCAATGTGTTCCTATACTGGATACTTATTTGGGTGTGGCAGTCATGTAGGAGTAAAATGTTTCCTAGATTCCCTGACTGTTACTAGATATTTCCAAATATTGATTGAGATATTTGAAAATAACGTGAATACAAAATGTTGTTTATATTTCCTTGTATTTGTTTTATTAACATATATAAATTTAATTATACTATTATGTAATTAACTTTGTTGCTTGTGGAATAGCTTTCTTCTACAAAGCGCTGTTTATACTTCTTTTTTTTAAATAAAAAAGTCTGATTACTTGTTTAGTTCCTATACCTTTATAATATTTATGTTTTAGTTCTTATATCTAAAAACTGCTCATTTTAATACACGTATACCTTTTTTTATATTTTTTTTATTTCTAATACATATGTTTTATAATTTGTTTTAGTTCATACATTTTTTGGATAAAGAAGACTTCAACGAATTAAAAAGTGTATCTCTAGATATTAAAATGAGTAACTCTTTTTGTGTAAGGTCTAAAATGTGTACATGTATAAGAACCAAATAAGTGATTAAACCAAATAAATAATACAAATCCAAAATGATATAATAATTATAAAATCTATATATTTTATAAATTAATGCAAAATTTTAAAATTTATTTTCTTTTTTAATCAAAGCCCTTACCAACACTTTTGGCATGTTCTTGGCTTGGAAAGTGGTGGCCTCCCCCTTCTCATAAACTGTTACTTAAACAAAGGATAAGTTTTTTTTACCTTCAATTCTCATATTAATTGTTATGTTGTGTTATAAAAGACATGTACGATGGAGTAACTATTAGTGTCCGGATACCAAGATGCGAGACCAAGAATTTTCCAATAAGAATAAACTCAGCCTCAACTCCTTACACATTTAACTTAATCATGGGACATATAAAATCTTTTCTTATTTTATGGTTGTTGTGGATGATATAGTCTTGGTTGAGGTATCAAAAGTAGTTAACTTTCTACTTGAACTTTGGAAACAAACTTCGAAAACAAAAGGGTTTCCATTTAAGTAGAAGTAAGTCAGCGTATTTGGCAAGAGACAAGATGAATGTGAAGTGGAAGTAAAAGTGGAAGATGTGTAAGTTTAAATATCTAGGATTAATACTAGAAAATGATGGAAAAGTTAACGAGAATGCCACACATAGGATACAAGAAAGATGGCTAAAATGAAGAAATCATTAAGGGATATTTATGACTTCAGAGTTCCTTCCAAACTCAAAGGAAGTTTTATTGTATTGCTATATGTCTAACTATACTATATGACAGTAAATGTTAGACTTCAAAAGGACAACAAAAGAAAAAGGTCAGAGACATAAATAAGAATGTTAGGATGAATGTGTGACCATACAAGCAAAGATAAGATATAAAATATTTGTGTAATGATGAAAGATTGGTGTAGCACCAATTGGAAAAAAAGATAACAGAAAATCAATTAAGATGCTTTTGACATGTAGAAAGAAAGCTCCGGGAGGCACTATTGAGAAGAGTGGATACTAGATAGTGTGGTCTTTGGTCCTGTATGGAGGAGGAGAGGGGGGACAAGAAGGACATTGGAGGAATCTCGTGGTAAATAAAATTGAAAAAACTTAGGTCTTTTGCTGATAGAATAACGTCGTGTGATCCGAGTAGCCAATATCATCTAGTGGGGTTGTTTATCAGTGTTATATGGAGAAAGTTGCTAAAACTATGATATTTCAGTGCATTAATTTTGGATGAGGTATGTCAATTCGCAGTAATACTCTTGGATGAGGTGTAATGTGTGATATCATATTAATAGAGTATTTAGAAAGGTGTCACTTGACTCTTGCGTTGTTCCTTAATTCTTGTTCATCGATGTTTTCCTTCCCTTAAGGTATAATGGTTATATTATATTTGCTTGATTTTTTTCTATGATGATTTTCTTCTCAATGCATTGAATCTCTCTAAGGTGTTGTACTATGATACCATTTTGTTATATGCAGGAAAAGAAAAAAAAAAAAAAAAAAAGGTTAATTGCGGGGGCATATAAAGCTCAATGTGTTTGCGAGTTTTGGCTAAAAGCAATTTGGAGGGGCACAAAGTTTTTGCATACAAGTGTCTTTTACATTAGTGTTCAATTGCGTGACAAATACTTCTGGAGTTATAATGGCTCCTAATCCAAGAGTCATTAACGCCTATAATGCCATGAGTTCCTTAGGAATTTCTGTTGAAGAGGTGAAACCGGTGTTGAAAAGATTGTTACAATTGTATCAGAATAACTGGGAACTTATTGAAGAAGACAATTATCGTACACTTATAGATGCATACTTTGAATTGAAGGAGGAAGATAAGGTTTCTCTAAACATCTTTTGTTTGTTTATATATTTATACATTGTTTCGATGAATTGTCCTTTTCATTGTAAGTTTTTATTTTGTGTTGATCTGTTGTTTCTGTCGTCCTTATCTTCCTATGGGGTAGATGAAATTTTACTAGTCAAGGGAGTGTTATTTTTTTATTAGTATTTGTGATTTCATCATTTGAATCTACATTCATCAGTTTCTTTCCCTTTGTTTTTTGTTTCTATTTGTGTACTTTGGTGAAACCTTGTAATATTTGTTTTCTAATAGCAAGCAGAAGGTAAGAGAAAAGCTCTAATCAATTATCCTGATGGGGAAAGGCCAAAACAGAAACTGCATTTGGTGGATGGAGATGACCAGGTTTCATCATCTGACAACTCAAAACAAGAGTTGTCTGCAGAAAACACTGAGATACATTCAAAGACTTTTAAACAGGAAATTGTTGAACCTTCTCAACCCTGCATTGGAGATATAGAGGCCACATCCAGTTCACAAAAATTGCGCACAATGTTGAATGAGGGAGAAAGAATCTCACCTTTACCTTGCAAGGTTGCTAGAGATGGAAAATTGCATCCTGAGAAAGCTTCAGCTGCAGGGCATTGTGAAGATCCAATTGATAAAGCTAGCAATCCTCATTTCCATAGGAAAAATATTTCAAGTGATCATCATCAGAAGGAGCTTATGGCACCAAGAACTGCGAAACACAAGTTACATCTTGGACCTGTTTCAAAGAGTTACGATGGTAATTTAGAAAGTCTTTCTGATTACACATCTTTTACCTTTTTATCTTTATTTTGTATTTGTTTTTACATCTATCATGAACCAATTTCTTTCAATTTGAATCCGGAAAGGTCTCCTTTCTTCTAGTTTTTCTTCTGTATAAAAATTAGGAGTGGAGATCCTGAAAGCTATTGATTTGTTATCAATGCTTTGTATATTGGTGCAAAGATGTAGTAAAAATGTCTGAAAAAGGAGCAGTTATAGATGTCTTATACACCAAGACTAGATTAAATCTACCAATTTACAGTTGCCTCTTCATTTTCAAGATATGTGCTCTACTGCATCAGAAAAACAAACATGTTGTACACTTGAACTGTGGTTTAGATGTGTTTTGATATAACTGGTATTTAGTGAATTTCTTGCTGATATTTAATGTAGGCTCATCTGATGTTTCAAAAGGAAATCTTCATGCCAAATCTCTGTTAGCTCTGTTTCATAATGTGCACAAGAAAGGTGATAGCTCAGCTTGCAATAATAACAACAGAACTCAGAAGGGTGATATTAACATTGCTTCTTCACCTTTGGGAGAAGTTAAAATTTTTTTAAACTGCGATGCTGCTTTGAGACAACCAAAATTCCATATTCCTGATTTGGATGCTGTTATGAAGTCCATGGAGGAGAAATACCTGAAGGGTTACAAGATCGTTGAGCCTCAATCATCTATGGTGAAGGTATTAGATGATTTATGTGGAAGTTACTTGAAGCTGGGCTTGAATTTAAATCGAAAGGGGTCACACAATGTGACATGTCTGCCACAGCAAGCAGTTACTGAACATGAAAATAATTCCTTTCACTTTGTCAGTGACCTTACAAAAGGTTCAGAGAATGTTAAAATATCATTGTTAGATGAAACTGGAAGTGAGGACTTGCCAAAGTTTAATTACATACCCAATAATGTAATATATCAAGATGCTAACGTGAATATTTCACTTGCTCGTATTGCGGATGAGGGTTGCTGTGCTGATTGTGCTGGCGACTGTCTTTCCTTACCTTTTCCTTGTGCATGTGCTCAAGAAACAGGTGGGGAGTTTGCTTACACTCCACAAGGTTTGTTGAATGAAGACTTTTTAACAGTTTGCATGTCTATGAAAATGGAACCACAAGATCATCATTTTGTATATTGCCAAGTATGCCCACTGGAGAGGTCTAAGAATGACAACAAAACTGAACCATGCAAGGGGCATCTGGTTAGGAAGTTTATCAAGGAATGCTGGAGGAAATGTGGATGTGACATGCAGTGTGGAAATCGGGTAGTGCAACGAGGCTTAGGATGTAAATTGCAGGTAAATTATTCTTTGAACAATCTTACAATTTATTTGATGAGAATTTTTTTTTCTTCCTTTTATTAATTTTATTGAGGCTGTTATATGTAGTTATGATAAGAGAAAATTGCATTATGTTACCGATGGAAATTAATATGTTTCTGTTAACATTTGTTTTTTATTTGTACCAGCCACTATTGTTGTTACATTTCTTGTATGATATTTGATATATGAAGTCTTGTTATTCTTTATTATTTAGGTGTTTTTGACTGGAGAAGGTAAGGGATGGGGCGTCAGAGCTCTAGAATATTTGCCTAAGGGATGTTTTGTATGTGAATATGCCGGGGAAATATTAACCAATACAGAATTATATGAAAGGATTGTGCAGAACAGCAGCAATGATAGACATACATATCCTGTAACCCTTGATGCAGACTGGGGCTCGGAAGGGGTGTTAAAGGATGAAGAAGCACTATGCTTAGATGCAACATATAATGGAAATGTTGCAAGGTTTATCAATCATAGGTGCTTTTCCAAAATTCATCAACCATATCTGTTATTCAGGATGAAATCGAGTCTGCCCGATTACTATTCTCCTGAAATTGTCCACCTCAATCACTTCCGGCCAAAATTGGGCTAGGCTGATTTATGACATGGAATAGTTTGTCAATTGACGTGATTTACAACAAAGCATTATGATGCAGTTTGATTTATATTGTTGAAATTGGGCTAGCCTGATCACGTGTAGGTTGAGATCTTTATGCATGAAACTGAGTTAAATATGATCACTTGGTTATCCAAAAAAGGAAACAAAGATCCCTCATTCCATGACCAAACTACAATTTTTTATATTATTTTATTTCCTATCATGTTTTTGGATGGAGTGTTAATTAATGATGTCTGCTTTCTTTCGTTTTCTTTTGAATAGTGGAACTAGAGATCAGAATCATTTTTGATAATTGCAGGCTCAATATATAATGAAAGTGAAAATGATTGGAGAACTACAGAATTATTTTATTTGTTTGTCAGTTTACTGGAATTTTGTGGTTCCATTTATGTCAGTTGTCAAAAGCCATCATAAAAAAACATTTTTTACTCCTTTTCCCCTTTTATTTTGTATTGACAAAAATGAGTACCTCTGAGTCCATGACTTGTATCATATTTTCTTTTCTCTTCTTTCACTCATCATTACAAATGTTCTTTTCTATATTTTATTTCTGTCCTTTTCATCTATTGATGTCTAGTATGGTTCCTGTGTTCATGATTTCAGATGCTGGGATGCAAATCTGATAGACATTCCCGTTGAAGTGGAAACTCCTGATCGTCACTATTATCATGTAAAAGTCTGTTTGATAATATATATATATATATATATATATATATATAGATCCGTTTATTCCAAAATAGACTTACTCTGTTCAATAACTCATGTTTTACATCAAATTTCAACAATCTAACCGTTAAATTTAAAATTCTTAATGCATAGAAGTCCGTAAATTTTTAAAAATTTGTAAATCATTTGATACTTCGTTTCATTAATTAAAATTGACAGATAATCATAAAACTATTTTATACATTTATTTTAATTAATAAAATGAAATATTAAATAATTTTTAAATTTTTTTAAAATTTGTAAATTTGATCTATGCATTAAGGACTTTAAATTCAACGGTTGGATTGTTAAAATTTGATATAGAACATGAGTTATTGAACGGAATAAGACTTACTCCCGAAGTAAACGGATCACCCCTCAATATATATATATATTCATTTTAACAGATTAATTTACTTATATATGAAAAACTGTGAATTTTAACTTTTTGTGTCATATTTGTTGTTTGTTTCGATCCTTGTCTGCAGCTGGCACTCTTTACAAACAGAAATGTAAACGCATACGAGGAGTTGACATGGGTAAGCCGGTTGGAGCAATGGAAGACATTTTCTTTATATATTTTATTTGCAAATATTACTTCTAAATATTGCTTTTAATTGGTGAAATAAAACATGCTTGTTGTTTGTTTTTGTGTGACAACTATGTTTTTCTAGTATTGATTATTGATTTCTTGGTGTTCTTGTCCATACAATGATACAAAGTTTCTGAAGGTGATTGATAATTGACTGGTACAGGGTTATCTTCATTCCCAAGTGTCTTCAACACGTGTGTAATGTTAAAATGTTCTAAAAATAAAGAATACACTGGTGACTTTTTTTGTTTGATATGTGCATTAAAAATCTATTTTTATATTATATTATATAATATAATATAATTTATAATATAAGAGTCTTACTTTTAAATTAAACATTTTCAATATTCTCTACTATGTAAGTGTTTTATGCACATTACCTGAACTAATCAACAATTTTATTTCTTATTGATCTTAAGTTATTTTTCTTTTATATTTATCTGTATAATTTTCGGTTTACCCTTTTTTAAATTATCACTAGTTAAAAAGTTTATATTATAATTTAAATTGCTCATTATAATTTTGAGTAACATTTATATATTTTAAAAAAATTGTATTATAAATTTCATAATGGTACAATTTATGTGTGAAAATAACTGATGCAAAGGTTTTTTACAATCATTTGATCACAAATTGAAATATATCAGATAGTTCATTAGAAAAAAAATATCAAGTTTATGAATTTCAGTAAAACCGTGATGCTGTTAAAGTCTCACTTCGTCTTTGACGTATGCAAAGCTTGCAATTTTGAGAGAATAATATCCTGTAGGGCCTAGGTAATAGTGTTGTTATCCTATACTTATTACTTAATGCACAGAACACTATCTAGAACTTTGCACTCATCTGATGTTTGTCTAAAATCGTTTGAGTTTACTGAAGACACCAGATATTATTTGCAGGACTATTGTATTGACTTTGATGATCATGAACATCCTATTCAAGCATTTAAGTGTTGTTGTGGAAGTGCATTCTGCCGTGATAAGAAACAAAAAGGTCAGTCCGATAATTTGGTCTTAGTCGTGCTATATATATATCACACGTCAGAATATAATTCTTTTCCTTTACGTGCTTTGATTATTGATTTTTCGTTCTTATTCTGTTTCCTACAGTGGTTGTTATGTGGTTTTACAGTTGCAAGAATGGTATATTAAAATTTTCACATGATCAAATTTAATGGTTTGATTTAGGCGTAATTCAATTTCAAATGTCAATTGTTTCATTCCTAATATCAAACTTGCATCACGAATGTCATGTGTCAATTTATTGTTTGTTTTTTAAGAAACACTTTCGTTTTTTTTATATTACTTTTTTTTTTTTTTAAGTTTAAACAAACTAGTCTATAATCTTATAATTTGTAATAAGATTTAACTAGTAATAAAATTAATTTATTTGAACTAATGGTTTTGTTAGCCATTGTCCATTGGTTTATAAAGATAATAGTTAAAAACTAATAAACAGTAAAATTTTGTCAGAAATTATATTAAAAATGTAAGCTAAAATGAATTTCTAACATTGAATATTTTGTTTTCTAATAAAAAAACATACTTGGACGAAAATTGAATAAAAAAATTATTTTTATTTCTAAGCTATTTGTTCAACGGATAGCAAAGCCAATACAAGACTTGAATTGTTTTCTTTTATTTGTAACGATTCTTTTTGGGGAAAAGAAAAATAGCAAATATACTTCACTTAACCAGAGAAATGTTTATATAATCAGTTTTATGCTGGCGATCCCCCAACCATTTCAGTAGGTGCAGCTCGAGCTTAATTTATTAGCCATTAATTAATAATAATTAATTACCTTGTTGATTGGAAAAAAATTGTTTATTTTTTCCTCTACATGTTACTTCTATGTTGTCTCTTGTTCCACTTGTAATTGATGCAGTGGCAAAATGTCAAAAAATGAAGTTATATAAAAGTCCCCTCGAAGTTTCTTTCTTAATATTGTCTTGTTCATGTGAAGCAGTTTACGACTTCTTATGCTCTATCTTTAGATGTTTATTTTACGTGCTACAGAAGATTCTGCTTCTTACACTATTCGATTTGTTTGGCAGGAACTAATAGATCATTGAAAGGTAAAAAACACAGGGAATAAAGGTGAAAGACTCCCCACTCAGGGAGACACATGCTTACGGACGGACTAAATAGTTGACATTTTTTCGTTCGTTGTTTGTTTTCATTTACCATCTATTTGCTGAAAGTTAGCGATAACTGTTTTTCAAAGCAGCTTTTTATGCTTGCTGGAGCAGTAAATGCTAGTCATATAGATGGTTTTTTTTTAGACATTTATGATAGTTGTTGTATTGCGATTTCAAAAAATTTTCAGCCAAGAGTTGAGTTAGGAAAACAAATTCAGTAGGTGAATTTGTCTGCGTTTTACTTGATAAATCTTATACGTGGGAAAACAATTATACATATATCTTCCGTATAAATTGGATAGTGTTATTTTTTGAAATAGGTATATTAGCACAATATATGGAGGAAAATTTTCTAATCATAGATTACAATTAAAAAAATATTAATCCGGTGAGAATAAAACTAAATTATAAACCCATTTTTATGAGATGATTATTATTGTTTTGATTCCTATTATCATTAAAATATATGAGATTAAAACTATATTATAAACTTGTAAAATTATGATTGTTCATGTCTTTATAATTATTATCACTATTAATATCTATTATCATCATAATTATTATCACTCATATTTTTGTCACTAATATCATTGTCAACATCAACATCGATGCTACTCCCTAATAATGACTAATATTAAAAATAATGGCAATTAGGAATGACAAAATAAATTTTGTTTCGAGGGTCAATATGTTGACCGTCAAAAATAGTTCATCTTTTTTTTTTCTTCTTATTATTATCTTATTTTTAATGATAAGTTTAAATAAGTTAATTGAAATTTATTATGTAAGTAATTTGTAACTTGTTGTGTAACAAATATATTATGCATTTAATTTATTTTATGATATATAATTTGAGGTATTTATCTAGTAAATTTGTTGGAAGAGTTATTAGTATAATTATATATTTATTTTATTATGTAGCAAATTTGGTATTTGTTATGTAGAAAATTTATTTTATTATGTAGCAAATTTAGTATTTGTTATCTGGTTAAACATGTTATAATTTGATATTTATTTTATTATTTAGTTACACTAATTTATATAAACCTTTTAGATATTGAAAAAAAAAACATATTAGAGGAGGTACCCAAAATAAATATATAATTTTTTTATTCTTATTTTTTTAGTGAGTCAATCCGTCAATCTACTCCTAAGTGATGCGGGTCAGGACGTCCAACCTAGTTTTTGTTGGTCAATGATGGAGTGGGTCTAAATGGGTCAAATTGACCTATTTTGGCAATGATAATTATGATAATAATGATTAGATGGTTGTAAACTTATAACTACAACATAGAATCAATGATACTAAGAGCATCTGTAATGGGGGTTGCTTATAAACAACCTCCTGTACCACATCAACCCTGACTTACTTTATGGGTTGTTTAAATTTTAGCAAAGTTGCTTCTACAAGCAACTTTGCTAAAATTTAAGCAATCCATAAAGTGGGCCAGAACTAATATGACAATGATATGGTACAAGAGGTTGCTTATAAACAACTCATTAGAGATGCTCTAATAGTCCTATAAGTACATCTTTGTTACTAATACCATTGTCAACATCAACATCGATGTTACCACCTAATGATGATAATAATATTAAAAATAATGGCAATTAGAGATGACAAATGGATCTTGTTTCTAGGGTCGATATGTATGCCGTCAAAAATAGCTCATTTTTTTTTTCTTCTTATTATTATCTTATATTTAATGATAACATTAAATAAGTTACATGAGATTTATTATATGAGTAATTTGTAATTTTTTGTGTAACAAATATATTATGCATTTAATTTATTTTATGATATATAATTTGAGATATTTTATGTAGCAAATTTGTTAGAAGAGTTATTATTATAACTATATATTTATTTTATTATGTGGCAAATTTGGTATTTGTTATCTAGCAAATAAAGTTAAATATGTTATAATTTGAGATTTATTTTATTATTTAGCTACGCTAATTTATATAAATTCGTTAGATATTGAGAAAAAAACATGTTAGAGGAGGGATCCAAAATAAATATAATTTTTTTTATTCTTATTTTTTTAGTGAGTCAATCTGCCAACCTATTCCTAAGTGATACGAGTCAGGACATCCAACCTAGTTTTTGTTAGTCAATGATGGAGTGGGTATAAATGGGTTGAATTGGCCCATTTTGTCATTCCTAGTGACAATGATAATTATGATAACAATGATTAGATAACTGCAAACTTATGACTACAACATAGATTCAATGATAGTAATAGTCTTATAAGTATATTTTATTATTGAATTTTATTCCCAACCAATTTTTTAATTGTAAATTAAGGGCTACTAGTTAAAGTTCTTATTTTTTAATTCTAAAGTTTTTCAATTGAAATGTTTCCTAATCATATATATATATGATGAGGATCAAGTTGCTCTAAATTAATAATTCAACTATTTGTAACACTGTGATTTGAGCTTTATTAATTAATTGTATAATATGTATGATTAATTGTTGAATTATTATATTTATTATTGTTTTAGAACTCTAAGGGTCAAAAATTCCTTAAGAGTTAAGTTTTTATTGAGGTAGTTTTAGTTAGAGTCAAGTTAATTAAGTTTAGTGAAGAGTATATAAAGTTTTTTTTAAGATGTAAACTTCATAAGTTTATATCTTCAAAAAACTTAGTGAGAAGTTAGAGAGGGGGAGACTTTGGAACCCAAGAAAGACTCTTTTTCTGCTAACTCCATAGAGCCCTTCTAAATCTTTCCCATAGTTGAGTAAAGTTGAGTAGTTGGAGATTTAAGCTTCAAGAGTTGAGAATCTCAAGTTGAGAGAGTCATATGGTGACCTTGAGAACTCTCAATTCTTTTTCCCTTCTCTTGATTTTGAGCGATTCGAAATAAGGAAAGTTTGTTGATTGTGGTTGTTGGTCTATAATTTTTGAAATCTCCTTGTAGTTGTCCATTTTGATGGCTGAGTTGATTTCATGAGTTAATGAAGATGTTGTTCTTGATGTTACCTTAAAAGATTTTCGTGAATTTGGTGTTTGATAGTTGCATGTTGTGTATGTTGCCAAAAATGTGTTGTATATATTGATTGTGTGTTGAAAGTTGAATTGCATGTTGGATTGGTCTAGATTTCTTGCAAGTTTGAGCCAAACGAAGATTCTGCCAAGTGCAAAGATCTCCATTATGTTGGATACGCTTTCATGGTTGATAAGTGTCTAACTAGTTTGATGAAATATAAATTTGAGACACTTATCTAGCACAATTTTTGTACATATTGATATAATTTTGGCCAATATACTTAGAATCAAAGAGAGACTCTTAATTTACGTTATTACAAGGAGTGATGAGTCTTTTGATCAGATTTTGTGCTTATTTTTGTAGGTTTTGAAGTCTGGAGGCAAACGACTTAGCCCTTCAAAAGGGCTGAACACTTTTAAGTCAGAGAGCTTAACAAGTGCACCAAAGGAGAGGTGCTCAGCCACTTCCAAGCGCTGAGCGGTTTTGGCCCTAGAAGAATGAGTGCTTTCTGCCTCCTAGGCGCTCAGCGGATCTAAAGCGCCCAGCCCCTTTTGCTTGCTTAATGGTGAAGAATCATCTCAGGCGCTCAGCGGATTTGAGGGGCTCAACCCTTCAGATTACTTCATGTTGAAGAATTCTCCAAACCGCTCAACTGTTTCAAGGCGTTGAGCGGTTCTTTCTCTTTCCTGCCTACTTTGTTTTAATTCCAGCACCTATAAAAGGGTAGAGGAGAGAGAAAATAGAAGAAGTTGCATGAGAGAAAGAACAGAGCAGAGAAAAGGAAACAGAGCACCCTGGAGCTTGTGGGAACACAGTTCTTCGGATGATCTTGTTCTTCTACCTTTCTTCTTGCTATTTTGTGCTTTCTTCTTCTATGGAGAGCTAAATCTCTAGGGTTGGGATTGATGTAATCATCGAACTCCTTTGTATTCCTCTTTGATTCATATATATATATATATATATATCATCTATTACTCAATGTTAGTGATTTGTATTCTGGTCTTAATATTTTGATAAATTGATCATTTATCTTTGATCTCAGATTTAGAATTTGGTTGGAAAACGTTTTCTGAATCTAGACTTGGAACAAATCACCTATTAGTTTTGAAAGTTAGGAATGATTTTGAAATTAATAGTTGTAATAAGTTCTGACTCTTAATGCAGGATATTTAACTGAATGAAGTGAGGAATCATTCATTGGGTTAAATATCTTAGAATTTCTTATGCCAAGGAATTGGGTCTGAATGGATATAGAGAAATTAATGGCAATGAGTAATGGAATCATTTGAAAGAATCAATAGGAATGCATAGGAGGGAGATTGATGAAATCTAATCCCAACTGTTTCTCATATTTATTTTTCTTAAATTTAACTTGATTTTAGTTACGTAGTTTAATTTACCGCTCACATCAAATATTTAACATGTGTGATAAATCAAGCTCTAAATTTACAAGTAACAATTAGTGTAATAGAGATCAAATTCTTCTTCACAAGTCCCTGAGGATCGACAACTTTTTTATTATATTACAGAGACTTGGGTGCGCTTACTCGAAAAACCAACAATGGTATTGAACATGACTCAAGTCATGGACTCTCTATTCTAACAACGTCAGACACAAGATTAGTAAATCAAATGTAGGTTAATGAAAAATTCTCTAACTTAGTCACGTTATACAATAAATGAAAGACATCAAACATTGTTCTTGACTTAGTAACGTTGAATGCAACATTGATTGTAGGGATGGCAACGGAGCGGGGCGGGTACGAGTTTCATGATACCCGTCCCCGTCCCCGCGAGCCAAACTCATCCCCGTCCCCGTACCCGTACCCGTCGGGTATGTAATTTTCATCCTCATCCTCATCCCCGTCGGGTATCTGGTATACCTGTACTCATACCTGTACTCGTACTCGTACCCGTCAAATTTTTTATTTTTTATTTTTTTTAAATTATAATATTTTTAAATTATTTTTTAATTATATTATAATTATAATTAGGTTATTTCTTTATCTCATATTATAATAAATAATCACACATAAAAAAATATTAAAATTCTTTAATATAATTAAATTGAAAGTAGGTATTAAATTAAAAATGGGAACAGGGACAGATACGGGTACGGGTACGGGTACGGAGCGGGTAAGTACATACCCATACCCGTACCCGTACTCGATTTAATATATCAAGTTTTACTCGTACCCATACCCGTACCCGGTTAAACCAGATATTTCCCATTAAAGTCGGGACAGGTTCAGATATTACTTGCGGGTATAGGTATATTTGTCATCCCTAATTGATTGCATCAAACATGACCAAGTCAATAATTCTTTGTCTAGACAACATCGAGTGCAAGTTGATCAAGTCCTCCAACCCAATGACATGTCACGTGTCCTACAACCCCTTTCGCGGCCGATTCTTTCAACTTTCAACTTACTTTTGTTTTATCCACACAAAACTACTATATATTTTTTCTTAATAAAACTACACCTAACTTTTTAAATCAATTCTATATAATTTTACTATAATCTGTTCTCTTAAATTATAAACTAAAATATGACTAGCATGCTCCCCAGACTTCGGTTCAATATGGCCTAAATATGATGTGGGGAGTTATCCTCTTACATCTATCTACCTCTGTACACCTGTTAGTTAAGTGAATATCCAGAAGAAGAAAAAAAATATGGGTATTCATAAATATTTATAAAATATAAATTTTAAATAAAAATAAAACAATACACTATAATAATTTTGAAATATCTTATATAAAAAATAGAACAGTTAATTTTATAAATAAAAAAGGATATGAAGATAATTTTAAAATGAGGGTATCCGCTATAACCATACCATCCTTCTTTACTTTGTTAATGATCATATCTTCATTTAACTATCGATTTTATATTCATAACAGATTTGATTTACAAACATTCGCCCACCAATATATGCTTGTACAAATTTTAGTTTAAATACGTGTATAATTCTTATAAAATATGTAATCTTTTAATATAGTCCACTACTCTATTTTTTTATATTAATTTAATTACGCTTTTATTCTTCCAGCATTATAATTATGCATTTTTAATTCTTAAAGCTTTAATTAGGTAATTTTATAGTTTCTTAAGTATCATAATTACACAATTTTTTATCTCAAATTATAATTTAACAACTTTAGTCTATCAAGTGTCACAATTTTAGTTCTTCATATCACAATTATACGATTTTTGACCTATTTAAGTTACATATGTTATAATTATTATTCTATATTAAACAATATATATATATATATATATATATATATTACTAAAATTACTAATATATTTAACTGAAATAGGTAAAAGTTGTATAATTGTGATACTTTAGAGACTAAAATCACACAATTGTGATACTTTAGGGGTTAAAATTGTTTAATTAAAAATTATGGGACCAAAATTGCATAATTGCGATACTTAAGAGACTAAAATTACTTAATTAAAATATGAATGACTAAAATTGCATAATTATTATGCTTGATGGACCAAAAATGAATTTAATCCTTTTTCTTAATTGTCTAGTATTTAAATTTTGTAGAGTTGTAATATTTTAGAAACTAAAATCATACAATTATAATACTCAAGAGATTAAAATTGTTCAACTAAAAGTTGAAGCCAAAATTGTACAATTATGATACTTAAGGAACTAACATTGTTCAACTAAAATTTGAAAGATTAAAATGATACAACTTATATTTTAAGGATCAAAAACACATTTACTTTTTTTTTTCATCCTTCTAAAATTAAAAACTATTATTTTTTTATTTATCCTATTATGTGGCATTTGTTAACTATTTATCTGTTGAACAAAATGTCAAATAATCAACTTAAGTGATACTTCTAAAAAAGTTTCAAGATATTTAAATTAAATATTATTTATTTATCTTAAAATAAATAATAGAGACAAATGAGTTTTTTTTATGCATTGACAAACTAGTTATTTGAGATCTTGGAAAATATGAAAATCAAAAAAAGTATTTTACAAATATCAAAATAAAAAATTATCATTTTAAAAAAAGAATTTTAAATTTTAAAAAGAATAAAAAATAAAAAATTTTGAAAAAGAAAAACTAAAAACAAAAATATTTCATTTTATAATGACCGAAAACATATTTAGGTCTTGCCAAAATAAAACAAACATTTATATATATTTTTTTAGCCGAAATTTTCGCAACTTAAAACTATGTATCAAGTTAATATTCGAACTAGACTCACTTTAACACTCTATCATCATTTAAATATAAGGAAACAAAAATAGAAGAAAAATGAAAAATGTGAAACCCATCTTCCAACTATAGGCCAAATTTGATGAGAAAGAATTATCTCTATTTCTTTTATTTCCCAAGTTTTTGAAAAAAAAATGAAAATAACACACACTTTATAGAAAGTAATATTTATTAATTTTTCAAAAAGTTAATAATAAATAAATGAAGAAAAAATAATGGTTAGAATTTTTTTCACAACTCCTGTATTTGCTTCACGGGTGACACAGCTGAAGATCAATGTCTATTTTGTCTGGGCTAATGCTCGAATTTGTTTAATAAAATAATATTAGAATAAGGATTAGAGTATTCGTAAAAATGGAAAAAATTAATAGATAAATTATATTTTTACTCCATTTATAGTATTTAATTTACAATTTTAGTCTCTTCATTTCTAATTTTATTATTTAAGTTTTTTAATTTGATAAAATACATGATTCAGATCTCATCAATAGTATACATCAATCATTTTTTAGTAATATAAAAAGAATTAATCACCTATACACTCTTAGTATAAATTTTTTTTACATTGACAACAAATTATATCTTTTAATAGTGACATGTCAGTTACTTATTTAATGAAATAATAATAAAATAAACAACTTTAAAAAATATGATTGATTATTAGTGTAACTGACAGTATAAAAATGATTAACTCATATAAAAATATTAAATATATGTTTTTTTCTGCACCAATGTAACGCCAATTGTTTTATCGGCACCGAGATATCTTCATCAATGCCAATTTGTCAAAAAATAAATTATTAATGAATTTTTTATGGGTGTATACAATAACTAAACTGGAGCTTATCTGTCACCAGATTATTTTCACATATATAAACAAAAGTCAAACTTTAATTAAACATGTTTAAAAGATTTGATCATTAATTAATTGTGCCATGTGCTTAGTAGTACTCGATATTTATATAACAGAGCATGCATTATACCAATGTACAATTTGTGAGTAAAATTAATTGAAAATCACGTTTTACTCGCGTTTAAAAAAACTGACTCATCTGTTGCGAATCGAAGTACGTGTAAGTAACGCTTAGAACATCTATAATAGGAATTTTTTATAAGTAACTCTCAATTATTTTAAATAGATCTCACAACTATTTTAAATAGATCTCATAGTATCACGTTATTTATAAGCAATTTATATTATATTTTTACAATTTTTGTTCCAATAAAAATTGTTTATAAGCACTTTTATTTTTTTATAACTCATATTACACTTTTTGATAATTCACACTATACTTTATGATACAATCAACCAATCACACCTCTTCATTTTAATTTTTAAATTGCTAAGCACTGTTGCTAGAAATAACAGAGCTAAAAAATTTAAAACTTGACTTGCCACGTAATATAACTCCAATAAAAATTTCTTATAAGTATTGTTATTTATTTTTAAGATACACAACAACAAGTATCCAATTAGAGGTGCTGTTACAACTTATCGGTAACAAAGTCTTGTATGACCTAATTATGGACATCTTTGGATAAGAGAAGAAAATAATTAAAAAATGAGATAAATTTTTTAATAGCTGAAATTAGTTAATACATTATTCTATTTAATTATATTTTTTAGTAGTAGTATTTTATTAAAAAAGAGAAGAAACATTATATGGAAATGGAATGAATTGGAAAGTTTGTGGTGGCGTTACAAGTCATGACAAGTGGGATGATACCTTTCTTTTCGGTAATATAAATTGAAAATTTCTACTTGAAATAAAAGAACCTACTAGCCTAAGATTTTGGCGAATGACAGATAGATAAACATTATTATTAAAATAATGAGAGAGAGGGGAGCATGAAATGAATAATAGAGAAGAATGAGGAATATATGAAATGTGGGAACTGCAGCAACACTGGAATGTGATTTCTTTTCCATTGGTACTCTTCCTCGGTCACCAACCCAACACTTCACTGCATTTCCTATGCTCACTGTTAAGTCCTAACTATGATAATATATTAATTTAGGTGTTTATATTTCATACACGCGCGTTGTTCAGATAAAAATCCGTGTCACTGTTTCTGAGTGGTTCTGATATTTGCTAAAGCTGTTGTTGCCACATATTCTTATCTTCTTCCCCGATTGTAACTTTTGTCGTTTTCATCACATGTATGATGTATTGCTTTGCCTCCCGCATGTCTTTTCATAACATGTCATCGTCATTGCCTTGAAAAGCCTTTATTTTTTTCATCACACAATTTCCAATTTTATATTTTTCTGATTAGCTAGCTTCTAATCATTCGGTTGGGTTAGGTTAGACCTTCTTCCTCTGCTTCATTCCAACTTAATTTACTATAACATCACTTTCTCTCACACACCATCTCTAATATTTTTAGTATTAATATTATCGTGATACCATGATTGCATCACGAAAAGATGTCAAGTACATTTTATGCAAATTTTTATTTATGACGCTATTGTGACTGCTGGAGATTGCTTTTTTTTTTTATGCGTTGTTTTTCCTTTTCCGTGAGTCTATGTATTAGTGTGACTTTGATAAATCGTGATGGAAACTTGGCATTAATTTTACAGTTGCAAGGATAGCAAGGGTGGCCCCACAAAAGTGTTTAAGGAGACAGGTGCAAATAATTGAGCTTTCTCTTTCCTTGAAGTGGTTGAAGGACTCACAAGGTGTTGTGAATCGGTGATGAGGAAAGGGGTAGCTGGGAAAGCTTTTTGAATAAAGAAAGAACAGTTGAGGGTAGTGAAATGGAGCCACCGAATCAGAAGTCTATTGAGAGAGTGGTTTCTCAGAGAGCCTTGCAAATTGGAAGTTCGTTTCCATGCCAAATTTGTGTTGTGGGGTTTCTCTGTGGAGTATGCCTCACTTATCTGTTCTTGGCTGCTTTGACTTCCTTTGGCACATTTCAGTTTGGTCCCATTTTATTTTCAACCATGTCAATGGCTAATTCTTCTGGGAATTCTACTTTTCCTAATGATATCAGTAAGTCAATTTCCTCTTCCTTTCTTTCAACCATTTCTTGTTTATTCATTTAAATTTTCTTCTCTTTGTTTTATGGAAATGGGGTTGTGGATGCAGGGGGGCATCTTCCTCTGTTATCATATGACTTTTACTTTCTTGATAGAACATGGCCAATTCAAGAAACTTTGAAACTGGGTTATGAAGAATTACGGTATTTAATTTAAAATTTTAAATACATAGTAAAAAGAGGCTATTTGATTTCTCCTTTTTTTTTTCTTCTTATTTTCCTTTTCCATGAAGAAAAAGAACCAAATTTATTATGAGTTCCAACCTTTTTTAAAGTTTGATGTATTCAATGACGTTTATCCGCGAAGCGAACTTGATGAAAATAGGTTAGGCTTGGGCTTGAAGCAACTTTAAAAATACTTTAATTACTTGCTTTACGTTAAGCATACTCTAATAACCATTCTTTTTGACTTGGACTACATATTCTAGAGAATGTATACATTGTTTGTCGTCATCAACACTGCAATTATGACATGCTTGTAATCACTATTTATAGCACAACGAGACACGTATAACTGATCCCAATGATGTAATTGTAGTAACGCTGTAAGTTGTAATCAATCCGATTGGCTGTGATGAAAAGATAAAATGAAATTAACGTGGAATGTGTTTTGTTTTCTTTATTTTTTTTAGACATGATTACAAATTCGGACTGCCGTATTAAGCTCAAGGAAACTGAGAGATTGTGGAATTCGGAGAGCAGCAGAGAGCGAGATAAGAATGAAAGAGTGGCACTGCTTTATTCAGCTTGGAGTGGTGTGTTGAATGAATCTACAAGTGGTGGTAAAGAGTACTTACAGAAACATGGAATTAGTGGGTCCAGTTTGCCTAATGCCCCACATTTGGAAAACTGCAAGGTGAAAACACAGTTATATGACTATCTTGATAAGCGTACAGGAACTGAGGTTTTCCCGCCATGGACAACTTGGAAGGGGCTTTTGCAGACATTTCCTGTTGCTGCATTCAATGAGCAGATGCAAAATCTTAAGCATCAGGCTGTATCTGAGGGGGCTTATCCACCCTGGGTGTGTTACTCAACTATTTTTCTAGTGTTTTGGATTCAATGATTCACCAATCACCATAAATTATTTCATTAAAAAATATGATTTGTTTAGTGTACTTGTTGATACCAATATTTGGTTTATTGTTACCTTTAAATATACTACTGAAGTGGCATTAGTTTCCATAACAATCATCGTTTCATAACTAATTGTTGTTTCTTAAAACTATTTCTTTTTTTTGAACAGAGCTAATTAGGTTTAGTATTTTCCTCACTAGATATTGCCCAGTTTAGTGTTTTTTCTTTAATGCTTGGCTCCCACATTAGGTTATAATTAATAATTTAAAAACGGCATATAGAAGCTAAAATGGCATTTTTAAACTTCATTTACTATGTCCATGATTAAAAAATAAGATGAAATGTTATAAGGTTAAATCATATAGAAGCCTTTGGCCTTTTCAGATTGCAGGGTCTGATGAAGAAAACTATCCCTTGACTAGAAAAGTGCAGCGTGACATATGGATCCATCAGCATCCTTTAAACTGTAGCAGCCCTGATGTGAAGTTCCTTGTTGCTGACTGGGAGAGATTACCTGGATTTGGTATTGGGGCTCAGATTGCTGGGATGTGTGGACTTCTTGCTATTGCAGTCAACGAAGGAAGAGTCCTTGTCACTGACTATTATAATAGAGCTGACCATGGTGGTTGCAAAGGTATATTTTTTTGGAAAAAAAACCATGCATTGGTATCTGTTTCGGTTACAACAACCTATGTACAATACAATGTGAACTCATACTCAAGAAAAGTCTTCAAATATTATTAATATTGTTACAAGAAACCAAAAATATGGTTCTGATGATAATGCAAGTGGACACTCTTCTATATGTAGGGTCTTCCCAGTCTAGTTGGAGTTGTTACTTCTTTCCTGAAACCTCCCTAGAATGTCGGCAGCGTGCATTTGAAGTCATGAAAAGTGAAGATGCTTGGAGCAAGGGAATTGTGACCTCCAAAGAAAATTATACATCCAAGCATATATGGGCTGGACCTACCCCTAGGTAACCCAACCTCTTACAACTGTAGTCCGATATATATGATTTCTTGCATGCTGAGAACCTGAACATATTGGAGTTTTATTCTTCCAATGTCAATATCAGGAAATGGGGGCTTCCATGGAATCATTTGCAACCAACAACTGACATAAATGGGACTCTGTTAGCTTCTCATAGAAAAATGGATAGACGGTGGTGGAGAGCACAGGTACCTATCAGACATGCAGAAAAAAGAGGGTTGGTCCTGGTTTTAGTAATAATTCATGTTTGAATATTCTTTTCACAAACATTGTTTTCAGGCAGTACGCTACTTAATGAGGTTTCCAACAGAATACACATGCAATTTAATGAATGTAGCCCGCCATGCTAGCTTTGGAAAATTAGCTGCAAAAATGGTTCTCGAAAGTCTTGCTTGGAACTGGCCAAAGGTTGTAGTTAAATTTGCTCTACTTTTCTTATTGAGTATGAAATCATTAAAAATACGAGTATATTTTTACCATTCTTTGCATCTAAACACGTGAAGATAAAAATAGGTCCTATTAGAAAATTTACCTTAATTTCCCCTCGAGATAGTATTATATTTTTCATAAAATTTGGCATTAAAATTGTATTCATGCAAATTTCATTGTTTTACTCCTTTGCCTCAGGAAAGTGGTGCGAAGCCAAGGTCTGATATTGATGAATATGTGTGGTCCAATCACAAGCCTTGGGTCCCTAGGCCTCTTCTAAGTATGCATGTAAGGATGGGAGACAAAGCATGTGAGATGAAGGTAGTTGGATTTGAAGAATACATGCAGCTTGCGGATCGGACTCGGAGACACTTCCCACACCTTAATAGCATTTGGCTCTCAACCGAGATGCAGGTATTATTCTTGTTGCCGGACATATTAATTTCTAATTATTTCGAGTTATATTTTAGATGATAGTTTGTTGATTGTGTTATACACTAAACACTAACATTACAAGACTCTAATTTGATACAGGAAGTGATTGACAAAACTAGAGAATATTCTCATTGGAACTTTCACTACACAAAGGTTAGACGCCAAGTTAGGATTAACATGTCAATGGCTGAGTACGAAGCCAGCCTGGGTAGGGAGACCAGCACAAATTATCCACTAGTTAATTTCTTGATGGCTGCTGACTCAGACTTTTTCATTGGGGCATTGGGTTCTTCCTGGTCCTACCTTATAGATGGAATGAGAAATACTGGAGGAAAGGTAATGGCTGGCTTCTTGAGTGTCAACAAGGACAGATTTTGGTAGGGTTACGTCTGTATATTGATCATTGGTGTCTTTGATAGTAATATTTTTCTTTTTTGATAGTAATATGATGCTTTGTATGTATAATTTTTGTATATGTGCCAAAAATAAAACAAAGCGATCTCTAATAGATTTAGTGATGAAAGAATCAAAATGCTTGCACCTTGTTCTTAGTTCGTTGTTTCCGGCCTGGTTCTTTTTTTAATCTGTTTCACGTGGAGTTCCTGGAATTTTTCCGTCTTCAAAATTTAACTAGCAGGGATAACAGTGGACGTGTATTGTGACTACTTTAAGCTATATGTCTATCCAAATTCTGTAACCAACATAACCAATACCTGAGAGATATCCGACCCCAAATATATTAAATACCTTTTTTTAAAAAATTCATGAAACTCCTAAGATTTTAAAAAATATTGTATGCTACACTCTGAAAGTCTATCAAAGACTTTGTATATGCGTATTTTGCTTTGATTTTCGTTATATAAGTAATTGGAATTGGCTATCGGTTCTAGGATTCAAAAAAGGATGGAACTTAAATAATATTTTTTTACTTTGCTCTTTAATAAAAATATATTACGTATATTATCTTTTACATCTCAAATAAAAAAAATAAATTGGAAAAAGATAATGAAGTGGTTAAAGAACAATACACGTTATATTTTCTTTTAAAAATAATAATTATAGAAAGATTAAAAAAATATGAAGTGATTAAAAAACTATATTTAAATTGTATTTTTGTTAAAAAAGTAACACTATAACAAAAAAAAGTTATCTTAATTTTATATATTAAAAACTTTGTCTCGTTTTGTTACCGGTTAATTAGTAGATACATACCTCTAAAGATTTAAGGGTACCGAACGATTTCTTTAGACGTGGAATTATTAAGTTTTGGTAAGGAATTTTGGATTATCCACTTGGGTGTAAAGAAAAACAAAGAATATCCCAACTATCGATGTGAAATATGTACCATAATAACTATTTGAGGTGAAAAAGGAAAGAGGTTCTTGTATTCAATGATTTAGGTACAAATTCCAACGAATTTTACTAGGCCAAAGTCCAGTTCAAAAGAATAGAAAAAACTTCATGAACGACAGGAGAAAACACAAATTCCACTCACAAAAATGCAAAATCAATAATCAGAGATATAGATGTACATACAAATATAGGTATCTTGGGCAAAATCAGAATGAAGCCAAGAAATTGAAGGCCACATAGACTCTTTCTCTACGTTTTCTCTTCAAATGACAATACAATTATTTCCAGATGACAAAAACTTGTCATAATCCAACATCGCGAAAGGGGAAAAACATAGTGGCACCCTTTTCTTGAAGAGTAACAATCGATCGCCCAGAAAGTTTCCAGTAAATTCTTGGCTAGATCATCCGATGTGAAAAGTAAAGTCAGCTGTGCATAACGACTCTTACACTTTCTCTCTGACAACGATTCTCAAAGCAGCAATTACAGAGATACCATGCTATTAGTATTCTTCCACATCCTCACTCCCTAGTTGTACTCCATCTCCTCCTTTAGCAGCTGTCTGCTTCTTATGTTTCTTATTTTTGGCTCTCTTGGCCTTCATACGGCGTTTCCTCTCATTAGCATCTACCCACTTGTAGTCTGAAGGTATACTGAAAGGGTCGACTTCATCCTTATATCTATGACTGTCAAAATCACTAGACTGCGTACCACGACTTCCTTTCATCCATGAAATCCACGATGTAGACCCTTCGGATTCCTTGGATTTGGCATCCTGGAAGTATGCTGGGCTGGAGAGTGGTGTTGAAAACTCCTCTGCTGGCTGAAGCTCCTCAAATTTTGTAAAAGTAACGAGGACCCGTATCGTAGGGACTATAGGGATAGCTACCTGCGTAGCAGGAAGCATAACCAGAGGCCTATGAGAAACATGCATTGATGCAAAGTATGCCACGACAGAGAAGCAATGACACAATGTCGTTTTGCAAGGGCACAGGGCGAAATAGACATGTGCAATTATATGATAAATTAATTAGTTATGGACATGAAATATTAATGCTATGCATTACAATTGACATGTTATTAACCAACAATTTTTTCATACATCCAACATAACATATATCTGACATGTTTTTAAAAGTTATTCAAAAATGGTGTTCTTAGTGTTGATTTCCATTTCATTTAGAACACCAACATGACTCCAATCTTGGCGTGCTAGTGTATTCATATCTAGAAGCAAAATCTGGAATGAATGATAGAAAAGAAACTTTTGTTTTTATCTGTAAGAATCAAACAAAGTATCAACGAGTTACAACTTGTTACACACACTACTCAGCCAACTGATTAAAACCTACTTGATATATAATATAAAAGAAACTAGTGCAACATCTATGCATTTAACAGTGTGTTTAGTTTCACGTTTCCCGGGCTTGACTCACGTAAACGACGCGAAAATAAGACGCTATGATTTTTTACTTCTGCGTCAAATCGGTTAAAACGTGAATTGGAAACGTGAATCCAGACATGCACTAAGGCAACAATATGTAATTTGCTTTGCAATATATAGCTCTGCCGATTCTGGATAAATGATGAAACTACATATCTTCATAAATTAATCCGCATAAGGGCAACTACATGTGTTGGCCTAAAGAATGTTGGGTTTAAGCAGGGGGGAAAAGTCTCGTTCGTTGAACACAACCCCATGCAAGAGTTCAATAAGGAAAAATATTAAAAGGAAAAAAAAATCTAAATATCCTAATATCTTAAGTGATGCTATGAACAACAAGCCACATATTAAGTAATAAAATGATGATAGTATATCTCTAGAGAACGATAATTTTATTCATCAATCTCTATTAGTGACAGTTAACCATCAATTGGAACTCAAGGATAATGTATTGCACCCACTTGTGACAACAGAAAAAGAATCTGTAACTCATGCAAAATCAAAGAAAACCCGGTCCCCCAACCCAAAAACAAGAAGGAAAAAACTTTCAAGAGGAGGAGGAAGAATGTTTAGACAAACTACAACTCTAAACAAACTCCTACGAGTGTCCTCCACATATGCAAGTGTCAATATGTAACCACAAGAGTGCCGACCAAAGCAACAGTGCATAAAAAATAAAACAAAATTAAGCACTGAAGGTTATGGTGGTATTGGGGTTACCTTAACAGGAAATGTTCCTTGAGGAAGTTTAGTTGTCAAAAGTTCTCTGAGTCTCCTAATGGCCTTAACCTTGTTTGCTAAGATGTCAAGTAGAGGCAGAAGCTCATCTGTTTTCAAAGGAAAATCTGGTGTCAACCACAAGACTGGTCTTAACCCCTTCTTATACTCACTCTCATTCTTAGACTCATTAATTGCTCCTTTCTTCTTTTTCCTTCTAAAGTTTTTATCCTTTCCCCTCTTCATTTCTCCAGGATCCTCCTTCACAAACTCAACTTGTGCCTTCGGCTGATCACCCGAAAACTTCTTCGCCGTTTTCAAATCCTCCGGCTCATCGCCGCTGCCCTTGAAGTTTTTCTTATTCCAACCAAACCAGCCCTTCTTTTCCTTATTAACCACACCATTGGCTTCACGGCTCTGATAGGAACCATTCTCAAGCCCATCAAACCCCCCTCCAGGCTCCTCATCCTGACAAATGCCATCAGAATTCCCCATCCGCAGCGCGGAATCCAACTGCATTCTCTCCTCGGCAGTCAACACATCATCATACTCATCATTGTTGTCTCCATTGGCCACACTCTCCCCATCGTCCACAGCAAAAAGCTCCTCATCAGTCATGGCACCGGGAACCCTGCGGGACTTGACACTGACCATCACATGAAGCATGTCATAAACCTTGGCCTTCCAATTCCCCACCATCTCGGTCTTCTCCTGGCGCCGCCAATTCAAATGGGGAACAAGCTCCGCCTGAGTCACATCAATGCCAGGCCTATACATATTGGTCTGAGACATCAAAGAAACCTCATGATTGACTTCAGCTTCCGTAGGCTTCGTACCAGCTCCCTCCAAAGCATTGGTGACTTCCCTCTCCTTGTGAGCAAGCGCAAGCAGAGAACCCGGTGGGAGGGTTAAATTCCCATCCTCGGAATCATAACCCTCGCCGAGGAAGAGAAACGTTTGGTCGGAGCGCTGTATGCGGAAGCCGTCGAAGCCGGCGAGGGTCATGTCGGCGCGGAGGTTAGAACCGCGCTTCCAAATGCGGTAGGTGTCGGAAGGGGCAATGCGGCCAATGAAGGGAATGACGGAGCTTTCAAAATGGAAGGATATCTCCATGTAGAAGTCGCGGATTCGTGCGGCGGAAGCGACGATGCGGGGGAGCCTCCGGCACCACTTGGCCCAAGCGAGAGGTTGGTAGTGGCGCGCGATGATGACGGCGATGGCTTCCTCTCTCGTGCACACCGCTTCTTGGAGCGCGCTCCAGCCGTTGTCGTTCTGGAGGCTCCAATCCGCGCCGGCGCACATGAGAATCTCGGCGGAGATGGCGTCCCTGAGACGCACCGCGAGGTGGAGAGGCGTCTCCCTTCCCGGAACGTCGCGGCGGTCGATGAGCGCGGAGAGCTGGTCGGCTTTGAGCTCCGCGGCGAGCGATTCAGCCTCGGTGTTGACCTCGCCGGGCCTGGCGAGGCGAGGGACGGTGGAAACGAGGTGGCGCAGGGCGGCGTGGTCGCGCCTGGCCACTGCTAGGTGTGCAGGACTGTGCGCGTATTTGGAGATATCCTCCATCTGATTCGTGGTTGTCCAGTAGCCAGTAGGAGAGGTTAGGCTTAGGGTTGAATTGAGAATTGAGAATTGAGAATTGAGAATTGAGAATTGAGAATTGAGAATTGAGATTGGATCTAACACAGACACAACTGAAAAGGCATCGCTCCTATTATTATTACTGTCTCTCTGCCCTTCCCTATCTTTCTATTCTATAATTCCACTCTGTGACTGTCAGTCCCCACCTCTGCTTTTCAAGGATATTCCTATTCATATTTCAAGTAACTAATTCAATCAATTTATCCAATCTCCCACTGCCATTCCATTACCAATTACCAATTACCAATCTTCACTTTTCACACTCTTTCCTCATTCCTCACACGCCTTCTCTCTTTCTCCTTTTTAACTGCCACTGCCCACTGCCGTTTCCCATTTACATTATTGCAATCAAGGACATGCAATCTTAAATACAGTACAGTACTCATATTTTATCTATCCAACTCTAAGAAACGTTAAATAAAATGTGTTTAAGAATAAGTTTAATTCAATTTAATTATAATTAAAAATATATATTAATAACTTTTTACTTTTTCTACTTAAAACATATATTTCTCGATTAAACATAATTTTAAACTAATATTTAAACATGTTGATAGTAAAATATTATTAGTTCATCTGCCATAGTTGACTCAAGCCACAATTTTTAGCACTAATTGAAAGCTGAGAAGCGTTCACAAATCGATTCGCTCCAAAATTTGCTTGAGTCACAACTTTCTCGCTTAAGCCAAATTCGAATAGAAACTGCCTATTAGATGTGTCCTGCATTTGGCTCAAGTCAAATAAATTTTGCTTAAATCATATGTTTTTCTGCTTAAGTCAAACATTGCAGAATTAGGTGCACCTTGGAATTGGCTTAAGCCAATTTTCCTTCTTTCTCCCTCCTGCATTCCAAAACCTTTTAATGTTAAATGACCTTTCCCTATATGTACCACCACGAAAACATGCTTGATTAATTTAAAATACACATTGCAGGGTAGATAACCATATTTGAAATATGTGTGTGTTTGTGGTGGAATTTGTTTTAAGGATTCTTTTTACTCGGACTAGCACAATCAATGTTTCAATTTAGGTATGTTAACGTTCTTATGTATTTGGAACACAGTGCAAAGAACAGAGACAGAGTGGAAACTTTCAAGAATTGCTTGTCTCTAAATATTCTTTAAGTATTATCAAGCAATAATGTTCATGTATGTAAATACTTAAATGCACAGAATGAACAACACGTATATTAGCAATGCAAATCATAGTTCATTTCGTACAATGGTCAAATTACATTACACATGAAAACATATTGATCAAAGTATATGAATACACTACGTGATTAAACGAAGAACAAGAAGACTATTCTACTTCTACTCCTAAAAAGAGAAAAGAAAAGTGGCCGAGAGTCAGTCATACCCAAAAACGATCTTGTGCACGAAAGCCATATGTGTGTGGAGGCAGAGAGTGCTTCAGAAGTTAATTCAAGTATGAGTTTTTCCGACCCTGTGCATGAGATGAATACTCCTATTTATAGACTAACTAAATAGCGGTTAACATTTAAGCTTGTGTATTGTGGGGTGCAACCGCTATCCACTACGCTTGATGTGGGTAGGAGTTATGCAACTTCTCCGTATGTAACTTCTCCTAACCGCCTTTCCCACGTGTTCTATTTTTCGATCTGTGTTTTAGTAACTGCTCCAATGCACCCATTAGATATCTTTCGATCATTGTTCAACTAACTGTTTTAAGGTAGTTTACTCTATTCGGACTCCTTCAGTTATTCTCACTTTTCGACCACTTTTCCGTTCGAGTATGTTTTCACGTACAGATATACTTTCCTTGACCCTTATGAGTGTGCTTTTCGAGTCGTTTGATCTTCGAGTAAGCCCAACAAATGCCCCCCTAGGAATTCAATCTTGATGTGCATACTGTTCCGGCAAGTTGAATTCCTGTCGAGAGTTATTTTTTTTTTGAATTCTCATCGAATAGCTTCAAATGGTGACTTTACACTTTTTCGATGAAAACCTTCTCTGATCTATATTAAATGCAAGTGACCATTTGATGAGACATTGATGGTCTTGATGGTGCGTGTTCACTCTGCTCCATAAATTTGTCTTTGAAGAAAACGGTTTTGGCGGCTTGATTTTAATTGATGTGAGTTGGCATTTTGGATTGAATTAACATGGACCCGTTTTTGACCTAAGGCCCATTTACCTCATTTAGGACTCTCTTTTACCCTAGAGTAAATTATCTTCACCGCTTCACTTGCTTTTGCGCACAAGTTTGTCACTTTCTTCTGCTTCTTGGTAGCCTCCTTCTCCGGTGATCTTGCACGTTGCTTCATTCATCCCTTCTTATCCATGGCTTCCTCTGCTGCCTCTACTTCTGTTGCTGTAGCTTCCTCAATGTCTCCTCCTACCACCACTTCTTCTCCTATTTTGACTGCTACTACTTTTGCTGCCATGACCACCATCTCGGCGGCTAGTCTCATGCCTGCAAGCAAAGCTTCATACTCTGCTTGATTATTTGATGTTCGGAAGCCGAAGCGTAGTGATTGTTCGAGGCTGAGACCAGATGGGCCTTGCAAAATTATGCCGGCACCGCTTCCTTATCGATTGGAAGATCCATTGACGTGCATGGTCCAAGTATTATCTTCAAAGTGGCCGGGTGGAGATAGCTCGTTGACGAAGTCGGCCAAGTGTTACGATTTGATAGGGCCTCGCGGTTTAAATCGAACGTCAAACTCGGACAACTCTATTGACCAAGCCATCATTTGGCCCGCGATCTCAGGCTTTCTGAACACTTTGGCTATCGGGCAATCTGTTCGGACTACCACCTTGTGACTTTGAAAGTATTGTCGAAGTCGTCGCGTCATGTAAATCAGTGCTAGAGCTACTTTTTCTAGGAGTTGGTATCGGCGCTCGGTGTCTTGCAGGACTCGGTTGACAAAGTATATAGGTTGCTAGTGGCCGTCCGTTTCTTGGATCATGATGGCACTAATGGCGTCGTTGGAAACTGCCAAGTATATGATCAGGTCTGATCCGAGTATCGGTTTAGAAAGAACTGGGGGGTTCCGAGTTGTCCTTTGAACTGCTGGAATGAGGCTTCACATTCATCCGTCCACTTGAATCGGTCGGATTTCTTTAATAGGCTGAGGATTGGTTTAGCTGTTTCGGCCATGCATGGGAGAAAACGGGACAAGGATGTCAGCCGGCCGGACAGTCTTTGAACTTCTTTGATGTTTGTTGGGCTTCTCATGTCTAGGATGGTGTGGCATTTGTCAGGGTTTACCTTAATGCCACGACTGGAGAGCATAAAGCCTAGGAACTTTCCTCCGGATACGCCAAACACACACTTGTCGGGATTGAGACGCATTCGGTGTTCTCGTAGTGCTTGAAATACTTCGGCCAGGTCGGCCGCGTGACCGACAAGGTTAGGTGATTTGACCACCATGTCATTGACGTACACTTCCAAATTCTTTCCTATTTGCTTGTGGAAGATTTTGTCCATGAGTCTCTGATAGGTAGTCCCGGCGTTCTTCAAGCCGAACAGCATAACCTGATAGTAGTAGTTGGCCGATTCGGTGATGAATGTTGTCTTCTCTTCGTCCTGGGGATGCATTCGGATCTGATTGTATCCGGAATATGCATCAAGAAAAGTTAGGAACTGGTGGCCGGCCGCGCCGTCAACTAATCGGTCAATGTTTGGCAGTGGGTAAGCGTCTTTGGGACATGCCTTGTTCAAATCGGTATAGTCGGTGCACATTCTACACTTACCATTCGGCTTCTTAACCATGACAACATTGGCCAACCATGTTGTGTATTGTACTTCTCGGATAAAGCCTGCATCCATAAGCTTGGAAACCTCTCCCTCAATTGCCTTCTTCCTTTCTTCCCCCATTTTTCTCTTTCGTTGGGCAACCGGCTTCGCCTCTCGGTAAACTGAGAGTTTGTGGCATAAAAATTTGGGGTCGATCCCCGGCATACTGGCCGACCGCCGTGCAAAGATGTCTTTATTTTTCTAGACGACTTGTTGTATCTGTTGTTTGGCTTGTTCAAATAGGTTGGATCCAAGATAAGTTACATGAGAATCGGTTGGACCGATGACGAACGGTTGTCTGTCTTCGATCGGCTCAACCCTTTCATCTTGCTCCATGCGAGGGTCGACGTCCATGATTGGGGGATCGAGTTCTCGGGCTACCGTATGTACACGCTTGAGCTTTCGTGGTTTTGTTTCTTCAAGGCGGGGTAAGCGAAGACTAGCAAAATAACATTCCCTTACCGCCTTCTGGTCGGCGTGAACAGTGATTATTCGTCACGATTCAGATGGGAACTTCATCGCCAAGTGTGGAGTTGACACAATTGCACCTAGTTTGTTCAGGGACGGCCTTCCAAGGAGAATATTGTACGACGTGTTGGCATGTACAACCACGTATTTGACCGAGATGCTTCTAGTTTCGGCTCCATCGAAACAGAAGCGTGCGGACAGTCTTTGAACTTCTTTGATGTTTGTTGGGCTTCTCATGTCTAGGATGGTGTGGCATTTGTCAGGGTTTACCTTAATGCCACGACTGGAGAGCATAAAGCCTAGGAACTTTCCTCCGGATATCTCAAATTTCGCAAATGTCATTCCTCAACGTGTTCCACAACATGTTGAGCCAA